AGCTCGATTCTTCTCTAACTATCTCGATAGTTTATAATATCGCTAATAAAGATTCTTAGTAGATATAGATTACTATATATAAGATATATAAAGTTATAGCGAATATAAAGACGAATATCTTATATATAGATCTTTATATATAAGATAGAATTAATTACGATACATAGAAGATCGTAATTTAAAAGAAGTATTCTTATAATAACGATATAAAGAGCGATATCTTAATATTAATATAGATAAATTTAAGAAATTTATAATATATTAAATATAGATAAAAACGAAACGAAGAAGATAGACGTAAAAATAGCGATTTAACTAGACTTTCTTATAGAGAGTTACTATAAATATCGAATAATATCTTTATCGAGTAAAATAAAAAGATCTCTAGAACTTCGATATTATAAAGGCGTATACGAGTTAAGAAAGATAGTAGTAATAAAATTAATAACGGCTTATTATTTTTCTATAAAGTTTATATACTACTTATAGTTATTATCAAGTATAATAGAGCTAAGATACTAAATTTTAATACTCTCTCTATAGCGAAGACTTATTTACTTCTCTCTGAAATTATAGCTATAGCTTTCCATAAATCAATTACTTATATTCTACTTTAAAGCCTTTTTAAATCTATAAACCTCGCTCGTATAGAGAAATCGAGAAGAGTGCTTTAGATGTGAGTGTATATCTATCGTAGTAGGGCTTTTCGAGATAACTTACTATAGAGTATCGAGTAACTAATTTAACTTCGAAATATATAAGCTTCTAATATTAATATCGAATATAGATATTTTATTAGCTCTAGTATTAATATCTAATACTAGTATCTAATATCTTTTAAACTATCGAGTTCTCCTCTAGCTATCTTATCTAATACGCTTTTATCTTTTCTTCTCTAAATTTTAGCCCTTTAAGTCTCTTAATCTTCTATCTTTAATAGTATTATAATCGATATTATATTATAAGATATATAAGATATAGAATTACGCTAAGAAGTCGTAGAGATATAAGTAGTAATTTATATTAACGTAGCGAATATCGATCGAGATCTCTATAGCTAAATTATACGACGTAAGAATATCTTTAATAATCTCTTACGAAGAAAGTCGTCGTAGTAATAATTTCGTTAAATCGAACTTATAATCTAATAAATTTTATATATTATTTATAGTTATTATTAAATATAATAGAGCTAAGATATTAAATTTTAATAAGTAGATCTCTATATTAAGTATTAAAATTTAATTATAACGCTCGAAATAGTATTATTTCTTCGCGGAGATCTATAATACTCGTTTCTTAGCTAATTAAGTCGTTGTAAAGTTTATAAATATTGTAAATAATATTCTTTCGAATAATAGAAAGTTCGTCGAAGATCTATTAGCCGGTAATAAACTTTTTACGAGAAATAAAGCGGAGAAGAATTTCTTATATTCGATATAGAAGACTCGTTTTTTAATAAATTAGACTATCGTTAATAATATAGATTTTCTAATATAAATACTTTTAAATAGTATATATAAGAGCTTCTATATAATAGAAATACCCAGCGTTTTCTTTTTCAAGCTCGATCGCTTACTTTAAATAGAAAGTAAAAATTCTATTAATTCTCTTTATCGAGAGAAAAGATACGAAGAAGCTTTATTATAATATTAGAATTAGTATAAAGATATAAGTTATATAGATAAGATAGATAGAATAATAAAACTATCGAATTATATATATAAAAAGAAGATATAATATAATAGAAGATATCTTCGTTAAGATATTAGATTATAGAGTTTAATAATATATTAAGAATACGTTTATAATAATTATATTTTTACTTATTAGATTATATTTTATCTTAAAGATATATAAATTATAAGTTAATTTAAGATTTAAGATTTAATATACGCTAAGTATATAGAAATTAAAAGATTTTTATAACTATAATAGTTATATTATAAATAACTCTCTATTTAAAGAGATAGCTATAAGTATTATTCTTACTACTACTTAATACTATTCTTCTTATTATAATAAAAGACGAGATAACGACGAGAATAATAGAAGTATTAATAATAGTTAAAGTATATATAATAATAGTAAATATATTAGTTATAAGACTATTAAATAATAGATATCTTAGAAAGATAATTATCTCTAATAAGAAAGAATTTTTCGACTATTCTATATTTAATTCTTACTTAGCGAGATTATAGAGTTATCGAATAAAATCGTATATATATTTAATATATTTTCAAGTATTTATTAATACTATTTTAAGCTTATATTTTATTTACTAAGAGATAGAATAATATATATTAGTATAATTTAAAAATATATAATTATTAAAGAGGTTTTAAGTAATCTATATATCGTTATTAGAAATATCTACTTTTTATAACTAAACTTTTAATAGTTATAAAATAATTATTTAAATTTATACTTTATATACGATATTATCTTATAATAAAATACTATCTTATAAGTTAATTAATTCGATATTTAGAATATATAATAGATAAATTAGCTTATCTAATAAGACTTAATATACGCTAAATATATTAAAATAATAAATATTTATATTTATAATAGTTATAACTCTAACTCTAACTCTTTTTTACTTAATATTCTATTAGAATAATAGATTATAGTTAACTTATTAAATAATTTTAATATATATTACGTATAGATTAATTTAAACTTTTCAAGAAGACTTTACGAGAGTAGACTCTACTAGAGAAGACGAAGTAATAATAGAAGTAATAAAAGCATTAATAATAGTCAAAGCCTGTACAGCAGCAGTAGGTAGGTATATCGGCTATAAGACCGTTAAATGATAGATAGATAGAAAGATTTATCTCTGTTGAGAAAGACTTTTTTCCCGACTATTCTACCTTCGATTCTTACTTAGCGAGAATACAAGGTTACAGAACGAAACCGTACACATATTTCACATATTTCCAAGCGTTTACTAGTGCTTTTTTGAAGCCACATTCCAAGAGGTGGGGTAAAATATGTGGGCATATTTTGAAACTATGTCCCGAATCCAGCCAGAGCGCTAATGTACATTCACACAGTGTCAGGCAGATCCTTGGAAGGTCTTATCAAGAAGGCTGTGCCATTTGAGTAGGGCTAGTGGGGCCGAAATGGCTATAAATTGATCAAAGGTTGGAATCTCAGGACTCTTTCTGAAGTGCATTGCGGAATCTTTGGTGTGTCTCGTGCCTCCTTACGGCAACGATGGCGGTCTCAAGGAAGTCGAGAAGAAGGGCACAGCCTCCCAGTCTCACCCAGGATCGGACTCACCGGATCGCTCGAGTCTTATGGTGGGGCCTTCAAATCAGTATTGAATTGACTCGATGTAGGTGGGCGGCTCCTGCCAATGATTGGCCACTGGCCTGTCATGCGGAGCCAACAATCTCGCGCAGCGTCATCAACCCATCGCATCCGGTGACGACTCTCGACAATAACTAATTCAGGGTTCTCAGGGAAACAACTTTCATTTTGGACACAGACCAACGAGTGTCCGAAATGAGATGTATCGAGAATAGGCGAGCTTTGATAATTCTCTGATGCGCCGAGCTGCGTAGTTTCATGTATGTAGGTTTCAGGTAAAATTCGGCTGGGAATAAACGATTCTCGGTCAGTATGCAGTCCTCGGTCTGACCATAAGATTTGTGGCCTATCAAGCCTGGTAGCATGAGGGGTAGTCGACATGTCTCATGCCTTCCGCGCGTTCCAGATGTCCGTCAGGTATGGCAGAATCCTTCGATTTTTCAGCCGATCCGACTAATTAGCGGATTGCTGGCCGGCATCGGTAGCAAATTGGCAGTCAATAATAGTCGGGTCAATGAATCAACAATACCCGTGCACTTGCAGCCGGGGCCCGAGCATCGGACCGTTTCCGTGCCCATCATTAGAGCCGCCCACAGTATTTAGAAGAGTACAGCACAAGACACAGAGTCTTTGGCTTCGAGTGGTTCTTTTGTAAGAGAAGCGGACCATTCGAACAATCGCAGGAGACACAAGACAAAAGGCGCAATAGGTAGATCAAAATCGCTTGATTGAAGAAACAAGTGAGAAGTCAACTGTGGTTATTTGAAAATTCTTCCTCTTCTCACTTTAATGCGCACAGATCGCACCCTTCCTCACACAACAATAATCGAGTAGTCCAAGCATTGCCTGTTTGAGCAGCGCATGTTTCGCGCACTCAAGTCACGTGAGCGTTGCGCGCTGAATTCGAAAGAGATCTCACAGGCTACAGCACCTCTATTCGACAGCCTTGCCGTGCAAACAGGATGCTCAAAAGAGGCGGCTTCAGCCCCTGGTCCCGTCAAAATGCAGAACGTCCTTAGGTGATCACATAACACAGTGATTCAGCACTCATCAAAAACTGCTTGGCATACAAAATTGCACTGTCTCACACGAGGAAGAGCCTTACCATACTTCGCTATTGACAACCCTTGAACCAGTTGTGCCACATGGCGTTGTCTTTCGGTGATACTACTCGTTGTACCAGTATTGTGATGAAAGATGGGGAAAAGAATTCTGAAGAAGGCTGGGGGTCGAAACTAGCCTGCGCTTGGGGAGCTGTAGAAAGCAGGCAAAACAGGGCGTCGCCTTTTCGCAGGGCGCAGGATGTACTTCCCGAATAGGTAAGAAGCTACTACGACTGAGCTTTAACGGTTCGACTCTTAGTCGTCACTTTTGGTCCCACCCCCAAAAGGGAGGGCTGTGGCAACCATTACGCAGTCGGGGGACAGGCTCGCTTCCGATTTGAATATATTTGTGTAATTTCTGTTCATTAGAGTTTTCAATCAACTCAATCAATCCTTTGCCTGTAGTCTTATCCGTGTCTATATATGGTCTCATCGAAGTTGTCACGACTAGATTGATGTTGTTTCTTTCCTTTTTTTGGGATACGATTCGAGATATTCTAATTAGCATCTGAGCATTTGTGTTGCATTTAATACTTATGCGGCACACTGCGCCCGTATTCTTCCTATGTCAGAATGGTCGATCCTATCGGGACCACCCTGGGAGCTGCGTCGCTCACATTGCAGTTGCTTGATGGCTGTATTAAAGGTTCGTCAGCCATAGCATAGCTGGAAAATGTGCGCTCAGTGGTGTGCTGATTAGAAGCTAGGCTATAAATACTTCATTGCGGCCGCTGGCATGCCTGAAGATTGCCGGTACATGAGAGTCAAGCTCCAGATTGAATACTCCCGACTACTGGATTGGTGTGAGGTTGCAGGCCTCATTGAGCTTAAAGACGGTCAAGATTTGCCTGACAGTTTGAGAGCGAACAAGCTCACTTTGGTCGCTATCCTCACGGAAATCCGCGTATCCATGGAAGATTTAGCTGGAATTCGTGGCAAATACGTCGACTTCAACTCAGCCGGGGATACTGCAAGTGAGAAAGCAGCTATCGAGACTGATCTGCTCGGAGAGTTCTCACACTTAGCCATTTCCTACGAAAAGGAGCCAGCCCAGCGCAACCATCCTCGCAGCAGAAATTACATCGCACGCGGAACCAGCATGGCCAGTAAAGTAGTGAAGCATCCTAAAAGGCTGCAATGGGTCCTCTTTGACAAGGACGTATTTTTGAAACTCTTAGGGAGGTTGACTGAGCTCAACCATCACCTGCAGGAGCTGATGCAAGGGCATCAGGCGCGGGCGCTTGAGATAGCAACCCAAAAGACTTATCTTGAGATGGTACAGATGCGGGCTTCTGTTGCAGAGCTCGCACACTTGGTGACGGCTGCAATGCTACTGCAAGAGCATCATGGGGTTGAATCCTCGAGTGCCTCGACCGGACTCCGCAACCAAAAGGCTCTAGCGTCTCTTGCTACCTTCAAAAGTCTCAATGCTACCCATGATGTGCTTGTCCGAGAACACTCTGGTGTTCACCAAACAAACACGAGTCCATCCCAGTTTTATTATTCGCAAATTTACTATGACAATGGCAGTGCTTTAGCTTCCACGTCGGATAGTAGAATCCGCACGGAAGGCAAGCTGTACTCTGGCCACGGTACCGAGCAGCATGTTTGGATTGAATGGAAAGGGTACAATACCAAGCACGACCGCGGGCTAGAGAAGCATGTGCCTCTGCCGAAGAATTTGAAACGCGTCAAAGAATTAGTCTCTCTGCTCCAGTCTGACAAACCAAAACAGTTCCATGCGCCGCGTTGTTTGGGCTTCTTTGATGACAGAGACGACATCAAAGACAGCAACCATGACGCCCGCTTTGGCCTGGTCTTCGAGAAGCCAGAGAACAGTGCCTCGCCAGTCTCACTTCGTCAGATAATGTTCACAAGACCCAAAGCATCTCTGACCGATCGAATCTCCCTGGCTCACAAACTCAGCACTTGCGTGCTGTACCTCCATGCTGTCAACTGGCTACACAAGGGCTTGAGAAGTGACGGCGTAATATTTTTCCCGGACTCTGATACCCCGAGCATAACAGAACCATACGTCACCGGCTACGAATATGCCCGCCCGGACAAAGATGGCCAGACTACCACGACTACAGTGGAGTTCGCCGATTATCTGATGCTCTACGTCCACCCAAACTATCAGGGCTCTGACGCCAAAGGCACCTACCGGAAAACCTTCGACATCTACAGTCTTGGCATCATATTGCTGGAGATTGCTTACTGGAAGCCCATCGAACAGATCCTTGACATCGACACGCACACCGCCAAGCCCGCTCAGCTGAAAGCGGTCCGCGAACGTCTCCTGGAGCCTGGTTCCGGGTACCTGGCATTTGTGAAGGAGAATCTTGGCGAAAGATATTATACAGCCGTCAAAAGTTGCATCGAAGGGCGCGCTGCGTTTGGTATAGGCACTGATGAAGTTGAAGGGGATGTACAGACGGGGGCGAGGTTGCAGCATGGCTTTAGCACGTTGGTTGTTGATGCTTTGGAGAGTATAAGTATATGAGGAGAGTGCTTGTTGACGGTATAAAGCGCATCTTCGTGTACAGTGAGCAATGTGTTTTATCCCCATATTCTCTTTCCAACAATCGTTCGCTAGAGGCGTTGAGATTCAGCCCGCAAGATGCGAAGATCATTTGCGACAATCCCGAAGCCCGGGCGCTCAAGACGCTTGAGGTAGCGTTCAAGGCACTGGTATTATGAGAATGTATCAGTCACGACTAATGATAGTGATGCTGTATTATTGCCTCTATTACTGCTTCTTGTGACGAATGTATCACGGGATGAATGTTATGTTAACCACCCAACCACCGGTAAAAAGGCTCTTTATTCAGTCTTAGATAACATTTCGATGTTTTGCAAAAGCTACTCGGCTCGAGCAAGCCAATACTCATGATAGAGCCTTGTTGCAGGGGGCGAAGGTACTGCGGAACCTCGTAACCGAGATATTCCTGGGTACGAAAGGAGACCCATTCTGGGCCGCCGACACCGGCAGCAATGTCAACTGCAGCTCCGTCGTATGAACAGCAATTCATGCCCACGAAAACAGCAACATCTAAAATACCCATCCTGCTCCCAATGACACTTTGGAGAGTTCGGGCTCACCGTTCCCATCCTGTTGGTCGTTGGGGCAATTGGCCAGAGAGCTTCAAATGATTGACTTCCACGCTGCTGTTGGGCCTCCCACAAGAGACAATTTTAATTCACATCAACGTCAAGCATCGCATCAAAAAGCTGCTCCTCTGTGTCGCGGCCAACATCAAACTTGACCAGCAGACACGGGAGACCGAGCGATATTGGACTGTGGTGTGAAAGTTGTTGTTAATAGAAGAAGAAGCATGGCTATGAAGCCTACTAAAAAGTAGGTGGCTAGCCCTACGAGCGACGTCAGATAATTGAACAGCTCGGGAATGCGCTGCAAGCTCTCTCCTTCTTCTTTCATTCCGGCAACGATCCCACGGACCGAGACGTGTGCCATTCGGATTCCTCGTCCGTCAAGCTTGGACAGGATTCGAGCCGCAGCATTATGCCAAAGGGCGCCAGTGCATGGTTCGGGAAGGCTGAGAAAGCCCACTTTGCCCGCGGAGACCATGACTACCGATCACCCATTGCTGGGAGACTATCTTCGGACTTTAAGAGGTTGTTCAGATATCACCCGAAGAAGCGGGGAAAGTGATCTAACTTTCAGGCAGCCAGAATGGACCGGCTACCGGTGCTGGTATTCTTTCAAAAGGAATAGAAATCATACGCGGGCTTAATACAGTCACGATAATCGAGATGAGCGAAGCGAGTAGTGTGGCCACGATTAGCATGCATAACGTGACAGCGAATGCGTGCGATTCCGCCCACACCCACAGGAATCCAACAGCCAACGTTTTCAGAAGCCCCGTCCCGCCCCACGAAGCTCGCTCTACGAGATCAGCCAGCTGATCGGTGTCGAAGAAGGCAACGATGCACGCTGTGCTAAGATAGCAAGTGGGGGCCTAGCAGGGGAATTCTAGCTGTCTTATCCAAGGAGCCCACAGCGATCAGATGACAGGGGCGAGTAAGCGCTGGACATCTTCTGTCCGTAGTTGATGCTGCTTTTTATCAACATGATTTGAGGTCAACCTGGAACGAGACCAAATCTCATAATAGGAGGTCCATTTTATGATAGCGGACGCAATCCCCCCATTAGAGGTCCAATCTCTGCCTACGCTGCCCATGATGGCCGAATCCAAATTAGTGTCAACCACAGTCCTCGTGACGGGCGGGAGTGGTCTTGTAGGTCACGGCATTCAGTGGCTCGTAGGAACTCAGGGCGGCGGTCCAACTGCGAGGAGAGACGGCGAGAATTGGGTTTTTTTATCCAGTGCGGATGGAGACTTGAGGCAAGAAAATCCGTCCATTCTACCCTTGCGACTGATTCAAGCGACCGATCTGACTCAGCTGTAGAGATTTCGATGCCGCCGAAGCGGTATTCCGTAAATACCGTCCAGATATGGTGATTCATCTCGCTGCGAAGGTTGGCGGTGTGTACCAAAACAGTCGAAGCCCAGTGGACTTTCTACAAGCAAATCTCTCAATTGACCAAAACGTGTTACGACTGTCACACCAATATAGTGTAGGGCGTCGGCATCCTCGCCCACGGTCGAACAATGAAAGACTCACGCACCTCCAGGTTGCAAAAGTGGTATCATGTTTGTCTACATGCATTTTCCCGGACAAAACCTCTTATCCCATCGACGAGACTATGCTCCACTCTGGGCCTCCTCACGACTCAAATTTTGGGTACGCACATGCGAAACGCATGATCGATGTATCGAACCGGTATTGCTGGTCCCTCAAGCGCGTGCTGTGTTGATATTGATGATCTATGACAGAGCGTACAAAGCCCAGTACGGTTGCAACTTTACCGCCGTTATCCCGACCAACGTCTACGGGCTTCATGATAATTTCCGGGAGGGCTGCCATTTCATACCTGGTATCATAAAGAGAGTCCATAACGCGAAAGGTGTGTAGAACCTCAATTATTCATTTGGCCGGGAAGATTTGGTCTTCCCGGGTGGCCATTCCAGACTGAAAGGATTGTTCAGTGAGGGGCGAATCGACCATTCATGTTCCTGGCACTGGCACAGCTTTAAGGCAGTTCATCTACTCTCGTGATCTCGCCGCACTCATCGTCCGGGCTCTTCGAGAATACAACTCCTGCGAGCCACTCATCCTTTCAGGTACGAGGAGCGCTATCACCCTTGTGCTTCTAAGCAACTATGTAAATTGACCCTATGTCCTATGCTGCTATGACAGTGGGCGAAGAGCACGAGACCTCCATTTCGGACACTGTCAAGCTTGTCTGCGCTCTGAGCGGCTTCAAGGGAGAGATCATGGTCAGTGTCTTCGATCGACCCCGTCCATACTTTCGGACACCGCATCATCGCTGATTCTCAATAGTGGGACGACTCGAAGGCCGACGGACAGCTGAAGAAGACCGCAGACAATACTAAGATGCGGAGTCTGATGGGCGATTTCGAGTTCACCCCTTTAGAACAAGGTTGGTCAGATACCTCGGTGTTTGCTCATGCGTCCAGCGTGGACTGTGCCATTACTGAGATACATCCTCAGGCCTCCGTGAGACCATCCAGTGGTATGGTGCAAATGCCGACAATGCTCAAGCCAAGGAGCAAATCATTCTGTAAACCAGACACGGGTAAGCTAGCACGGACGAGCCAAGCAGAGGTCAGTACTTCTGGACCGTGGATACAGATTTCTTACTCAGTCCATAATTCATAGGGGATCAGTGCACATACACAAATGGAATTTTCGACGCAAGTGCTTAGAACAAAAAAGCGCCGTGGTGTTCGCTCAAATTTGCCCGCTCATTTCTGCGCTACACTCGCTTAATAAGGCTTTTTGTTTCTGTATTTTGAAGTTGAGGCAACAAAAAGCGTAGCATGCTTGAGTAGGGTGGTGTGTAAGCTACCAGATAGCCAGACATTGAGCACAGCTGTAGTTGAGACATCTTCGAAAAAATCAAGCGCGATTTCGGGTTTCAGCTGGTTCTACTGATGGGTTTGTCAAGCGCGATCGAAGAAACTCTGTTCAGGGTTCACTGCGGACGAGGTTGATGTCCGCTTCGACCATCTTCTTGACCAGCATCTGGGTAATGTATACGATCAGTCATCAGTCCAACAACAGCTCTCGCTTTAGAGGGAAAGAAGTGGCATCAACTATGTTCCTCGGACTTTATCCTTGGCTTCCAATCAGAGGTTGTATTATTGACATTTGATGATCAGAACTTTACGCGAGACAAGCTAAACACGCGTTAGAGCCTTAGATGCTGCTACGGTGAGTGTATCTCCTAACACAGATGGTCTTTTCTACTTCTGGGACTGGATGCACCATAGATAGGTCTGTATATGACTGGAAAGCAGGTTGGTGTGAGCCAGACAGGCCTTCAGACTATATCATCGGTTTCTTTCACTGGTATGCTCGACGGGGTATCGCCGAAACCCGCGAATGACATCGAAGTCATCTTAGACTTAACCGCGGACCAGGCTCTTATCGCCAGTCGTCTAACGATTTGCGGTCCCTCGATGAGCTCTGTCCACGATAGCCAAATCCGCCAGATCATGATCAAGATGATGGTGATAGGTATCGTCGTCGCAATGAAAAGCCACCAATCAGTTGTCACGACAACCTCGCCGTTCTGGTTGTCGAAGAATACCATGCCGAAAAAGCCCGAGACAGCTGTCGCAGGAAGAAATATCATGGTCAAGGCGGCGATGATCTTCATAGCCGAGCTGTCTGCCCTTGTGGCTCGTGCTATAGAAGTGTTTGTTTCACTGTCTTGCTGGGTAACCAAGTTGAAGACCTGCATAATGTTAGTTGCTAGCTAATTGCACAAGGCGATCGAGGATGACTCGCAAGGTTCATAGCAATGTCTTTCCGCGACTTGTAGCCTAGAATCCACCGTTTTCTAGACTGCAAAGAGTGCATAAGATGCTCCAACATGTCATCGACTTGATTGTGCCCTTGTCGCGAGGAGATTTCAGACGTTGTCTTGAGATAGGCGTGCGCAGTAGCCATTCGCTCAACCACCATAGTGCCCATCTCAGTGCTGGAGACAAGTACATCGGCATCTTGCGAGATCATGTGTAGATTCTTGGTTATGCCTCTTAGGGCATCTCGGTCCAATGCCAGCTCAGTCTTGCCTTTTTCTGCATTTTTGTCATCATCGACGACGTCCAGTTGATCGTAGAGACGATGTCGAAGTTTCGTGATGACACCTTTTGATTGAAGGAACGACTCTTGGGCGATAACGCCGTGCAGGAAGAACGAGTCTGAAGTCCTGCGTGAAGCTTGTTGATTTGATGCTGGATGGGCGAACGCGTCTTTCAATCTCTGTTTGGCGACTTCAACTATAGGATCGGCATCTCCTGAAACGACAATGTATGTGGTCACCGCCATCACCTTGTGGAAGCTCATGTAAATGGAGCACGGTTGAAGTTTTGTATGTATGTTCCATCGCGGATGCTGACAAATGAATTCTGGCACGATCATCAGTCATTTTATCTAGTACGGCTCCTCTCGAGTAGCATTACCTTGCCTGAAGAGCTGTCCTGTGGGGTCATAGCCGTGATAGGTACCCGGGGCTGCATACTCTGGCTCGGCAAGCAGCAAAGGGACGAAATGTGGTGACACCTCCAATGTGTGGAGGAGTTCTCGAGCCAGAGTTTGGCTCAGAGATATCTGCGAGGCGAATGTTGTGCCCTTTTGCTGCTTGGATGTGAAGAAGCTGCAACATCAATATAAGTGAGGAAAGACCCATGGTAGACAATCACATGGTTTGGACCCACATAATGCGAGTAGCATTGTGGAGCATTGGACTCTAGTCGACTGTTAGTCAATGCGAGCAGAATCGAAGCAGTTGTCCATGCTTGGATGTAGCAACGAAGCTCGTCATCGTGAACCTCAGGTTTCAGAAAGCCAACCCCGTCTCCATTCACATCAAAGATACTGCAGGTGGTTTGCTCGGCGAAGTTGTCTTCATTGCCTAGGATACTTTGGTGGTAGGCGAGATCGTGAATGGATGCAGACGACGAATTAAGTGTGCATGGGTATTGTGATCTCTCGAGCTCTTTCCTCTCAATGACTTTGTATTGGCTTGCGAGCCGCTGCCCGGTAGGCTTTTCGATGTCGGTAGGAGCGGACATAATGGTCACTGAGACAGACAGAATTCAAGTAAGACGGAGACTAGAGTGCGTCGTGCGCTCTATATCAGATCGAATTCTCTCTACACAGAGTCTAGACCGAGTCCTGACACAGCTCCATGGCTAAACGTGCCATACCTACATGCTTTAGGCAGCTATTTCAGATTAGGGCAAATGTTTAGGAAACGTCTCAAGCAGCAGATTTTTTTTTTCTTGGTGTGCTAGAAGGGGCTCGGCCAGGCGATATGCACCTCGTGGTATACGCCTCGCAATCAACACCTCGTCTAGCGCTACAAATGTCGATCTCTCCAATGCTGTAGCAGATGGGAGGACTTGCCGCCTAGGAGGGCGAGTCACAAGGTAGACTGTACATACAGAACAAGGAAACGTCGACAGGGCTGTTGCCGCCTCTTCATTCGAAATAATTGTACACAGGATGTGTGTGTGTGGGGAAGATTTGTTTGAGGGGTCACAGCCTAGAGCAAACGAAAGCCATCTATTAAGATACTGCTTCTAAGGAGATCCCGCCAACGGATTTATTCGGATTGAGCAGGCATTCTCAACTCACCGAGTTCGCAGGCTCTCCAGAGTATCCAAATCGACCTTTCACTTACTCCGTAGACTTACGACGTTATGTGCATGCGTGGGGAACGGCGGTCGGCAGATCTTGGTCAAACAATACTCGTATGTGGTGACAAAATTCGAGGGCGCCAATCGTGCATCATCAAGGACTTCCCGCTTATCAGTGGAAACCCAGGCCAATTGACAGCAAACATGTTCGAGATATCAAAACAGAACACTTGTTGGCGATCTATCTCCTGAGGCGGGAAGTCCTTGACGATGCACGTACTGTAGTACTTACGCGAGACGAAAGCGCTAACTTTGCGGCTGGTGCCGGAAGCCGGAGCGGAATCCGAAAGCCTTGGCCTTCACAAGTTCACTGTCGGAGTACCGTACTCAGGGCCAGGCTGCGGTGATGATTCTGTGCTCAAAGAGCCAAACGTTGGATTCGTGACTAGGTCAAAATTTCAGTCGACTTTAGTGTCTAGTTCTAGATCATGGACTCCAACAGAGAGATTCCACCTGAGCTGGAAGCAATTGCTCTGCGAAAATTCGATAGCCTTGTGGACAAAGGAGAGATACAGTACGAGCGGCCAAAGACTTCGATAGTATGGGCACAGGGGTTTCAGGTACTTGAACGATGCTTCACGGCAGATATCCACACCGATGCAGTAGGACCGCTGTGAACTGAACACATGTCTTGTGCAGTTCCAGTTTGACGTAACGCCAGCTTTGAGCAACAAGCCAATACTCTCGCCCGAAGATCCAGGTCGTTCAAAACCCATCGGTCCATTTGTCGACCCTCCAGAGGAATGGGTACGTACATTTCGGAGCTGATCCTTCCTATTGGGTATTGAACTTGAGTCGCAAGACATATTTTGGGAGCAAGAAGACCTTTCTACTCCCCAGACCTCCATTTTCTGCCCCGAATAAGCGATCCTGACTCCAAAATCTGCGTAGATCATAGCAAGAATCGGGCAGTCGCATAAGCTTATACTGAACAAATACTGTGTTTATCGACCAATGCTGATTCTGCATACAACGCTATTCGTACCACAGACGAATGATTTGGATGTAGATGACCTGACAGCTGCATGGGCGATTTTGAGACAAATTGAGACTCCGCAGATGATCATATACAATTGTGGTGTGGAAGCTGGCTCCTCTCAGGGACACAAGCACATCCAAATATTCCCGAGACTAGATTCTGAGGACTTCCAGATGTTCCCTTCAAAAGCCACGTCGACAGAAGGCATGTCTTTTCGTTTCACCAGTATATTGCATTGGGACTATTGCAGGACATGCTCTCAAGTTCACGAAGTTGACCTTTGAAGCTAGACGTGGAGACCAGCATCTCGGGAGTGCCATTTGTGCACTTTGTTGTCCGCCTGCCGGAGAAATCGTCCTCCAAACAAGTCTACACGCAGTATGAGAGGCTTCTTGGGATGGCGAAAGACGCCCTGAAAGCTGCACATGCCGGCACTGACTACAACTTGATACTTGTATCCGAATGGATGGCTCTGATACCACGCAGGAGGAAAGGCTGGGGGTCCTTTATTGCAAATGCAGCGAATATGGTGGGCTCACTGTGGCTCAGGAGCGAGGAGCAGCGAGATGATATGCTCAAACACCGGATTTTAGATATGCTTGCTGAGTTAGGTATCCCACTACAACGTACCTGAGCAACGTGGCCTGCAACGGAAGGAAGGTCTTCGTCAGCCAATCCAAACATTCAACATGACTACTAGCAGCGTCCCTCCTGTAGCCTCACTGCAATTTGATGATGTTACTGACTTGACTTCGTAAGATGTCAACACACCCGGTCTGCACCCAACATACAATGCTACTCACACTTTTTCGCCTTCATGTCCAGTCGCGGGTTCACTCGTCCCTTGGTGCCTAACCTACCATATGTGGTCAACAGGGCGTAGGCGAAACCCCCCACGACACCCTCAAATCCTCCGTCGACCGGTGCTTTCACGCAAGCCCCGAGCAACAGGTGCGAACTGATGGGTCCTGAAATCCGGCCGGCAGGAAATTGAAAGCGGGCATTTGAGACAAACCGCTACTGCCATGTCTGACATCTTCTTTCCCTCTTTCATGGCTAAAACCAGCCTTCACAACACGACATGGATTTCTCCCAACATCAGACTCCTCCAGCAGCCGAGACTGGCGCAAACTTATCTCTACACAAGATATGACGCCATGAGAGACGAAGCCCAGCATCTAGTGTACCGCTATCATCTATGTCTCGGCCGTGTGTACACGTCAATAGACATCTCAAAGACACACACCAGCATCCAACGCAGCAGCGGCAAAGGGCGGCATCAAAAGCACAAGAGTTGGCGTACTAGGGACAGATGGACGACGAAATGTTCCCGAATTGGCAGAAGACTCAAGAGATGCGTGAAGAAAGTCGTCAGTATTTTATCTGTTGACATCCAGTAAATGTGTCGATGCTGGTCCCGCGGTAGAGCGAGAGTTGAGTGAAAAGGTCGAGATTGAAGGGAAGGAGCTCGACACGGCTGGTATCTGGTAATACGTCATTTAAAAATAAGAGATAATGCCCATCAAGTACAATTTAGTAACGATCGTGACTAAAACCGTACAGCCAGTACGGACGCTGCACCTCCACATGTCCAGTCAGATTAGTGAAGGACGCCGCGAGCGATGGATCTTTGCTAGACAGACGCCTCGAGCTACAGCTGGATCAGCCACGGCCATCTCCCTCCGATCATTCGGGCAATGGATCAAGGCGGTACGATGGCGAAGAGGTTGGGTTTGGAAGCCACCCACCAGGCGCGCTGGCAGAGGAAGTGAGAATGTAGCGGGATAAGTCTTACGCATATCAGTGAGGAGCAATTGGGTTTCCCTGGTCTCGAATACTCTCTATGCAGTTGTCTTTTGCCATGGCTTCTTCCGACAGCTTTCCTGCCACCAGATCCCAAGGGCGGATTAGCATATGCCTCTGTCGATGACTTTGGTGTGACAGTTCCATAGCATTGCCGCGGCTAAGCACGTATGTGGTTTCCGTCTTAGCCGCAAATGATCCATGAGATTTCAGTGCCTTTATATTATTGGTTTGCCGTGAAGACGAGTTTGAATTTAGAACGGGAGTGTTTATAGATTACAGTCTTGTATTGATGAAAAACTTGCGTCTAATTCAAATTGCTACATGGATATCATAAGGTACATGAACACAACGTATTGGTACATGAACCTGAAAATTCCACTGCAGTGTGTACAAGACCTCAGAGATCTTCGTGGCAACTTCTTATCTTAGAAGAGCCCACGGACGACACAAGAGCTCAATCTCTGAGTTGAGGGTGGGCGCAGGAATGTTGACCGTTTCTTGTTCCGATTAGGAACCAGGAGCAGTGGCCGAGATACCGCAGATGATGCCACAAAACCCCCTCAAGTGGGTCTTGTTCGCCTTCGTCCTCAAGTCTGCAGAATCGAGCGAAGACGAGACCGAAAGCGAGGAGTTGTTCGAGTAGAGGACCTTGGCCAAACGGTCGAGAGATCTGATGTGAAGGTGAATGGGATTGGCCGAGTCTTTTGTCTGCCATGCAAGAGGGGTCCGGCTTTGCGGAGGCTCTTGATTCTCCGCTTGCTTTTGGCTGTTTGTTAATCCGCGCCCAACCCGGGCGATTTTCCGTGGTTTGGGCCTCGAGATAAGTCACGTTATCGCATGCGCAGGTGAGTGGCAAAACGGCCTCGAACCACGTGTCTTCGCAAGCGCAGTGAATGTCTGCGTTGGCGCCTTCCTTTGACTTTCACGAGTACCGCGATGGCATGTGGGAACATCTCCCGCCAGTCGTCTTTTTTATACAGGCCTTCGGCGGCCCAGGTCTTGTCCATTGTCAGAGCCTGGCGTAGCAGCCGTGGCAAATCATGTCTCAGCAGACAATTCCTGGAAACGCGGAGACTACTCTCTAGAAGAACTTGGGCCCATTTCAAGGTCCTTCTTTGAGGGTCTAATTCTGAAGTTTCAATGGCGTGGCTTAACTTAGCTCCTCTAGGGCCGTTTACACCGACCACGAATCTTCCAGCAAACTTCTTGAACTTCTCGTTTCTGCTGAAATTGCTTAGCTCGACCGTATCGTCTGATTGGATCCGTTTGTCGAGCGCGGGTGTATAAGTCAACAGACTCTGAAAGACAAAGTCCTGCATTTTGTGTGACACTGCACCATAGATACAAGCAGATCTCCAGATAACGGTAGAGAAGTTGAGCAAGCGACTTCTCCACGCCTGTAGAAAGAGTGTCTCGTATGCCTCCGGCCCTGGATACAGATTGTAATAATACCGGAAAACTTCTAGTATTCGAATTGCTAGCTCGTGCCGCCTCAATGGTAAACAGTGCCGAAGCAGCGTGTTCATTGAGATGTCATCAGGCACAAAACCGGCTTCCTTCATCTCATAAAGCAAACTCAGGCTCTCCGCCGCCGATTTACGCTTGGCCACCTCGTTCAAAAGCTTGTTGCCTGCAGTAGTCGATAGCCATCCAATCCCGTACTTGCTATTCATGTGATCAAGAAAGCTATGGTGATTATGGCCATCGCCTAGGTGGTTGACAATCTCATAGTGGACCATGTGAGCTGCAACGTCCCTTCTAATCCAAATTTTGTCTAGCATATTCATGTCTGCCATCTTCCGAACAATGAACGCTCGCACCGTACTGGAATGGTTTACTTGGAGGAACAGTGTCCATGTCTTCTCGTTAGGCCTGAAGCCCCGATACGTCATTTTTCTCAGAAGAAATGTGAAATTGTGGAGGTCCTTCTGCGAAGCTGAACCGCGCAGCAGGATATTACATGTTTCTGTCGAAATATGCATCTTTAAGTCCTCCATCCGAATAAAGAGAGACCGGGCGTCCGGTATCATTCCGTGATCGTAGAAGAAACGCAATGCGGTGTTGCAAGCCTTGATGCTCAAGGATTTCTGTGACGCCGTGCTGTAAAAAACCTGTTCAAAAGCAGCAGCAACTTCCCAAATATTAGTCCAACCCTTCAACCAGGGCTTTTCTGCCCAAGCGACTCTGGCTTGAGTCCTCTGAGACTCGGCGAGGGCCTCAACGTAGACTGCCAGATATGCCTCTGACCATTCAACGGGAGGAGAAATGTTGTGAGCAAGTCGAAAAGATCTGAAATTGCGTGATCTGGAGGTGACTCTTCGCACAGGACTCTGAATCTCGATGCCGGCATCAAAATGTTGGGCATGAGAGCCAGGAGTCTGGTCTAGACTCGGTGCGGGATCAAAGGTATCAATGTTTTTGACTTTATCGATCTCTTCGGGCGTGTAGTATTGTTGCAATATGGAAAGCGCTATCCTCCAGTCGTGTGATTGCAGTCCCTTGTCCTTCAGCAGCTTGTTGACAAAAAGCTTATCCGCCTTGTTCTTCCCGAAGGCAAATTTTTGTAATCGCTTATCCTGTTTCTGTGATGCTGCTGACTGTATGGGCAGGAATCTTGCAATCAGATCGGAAAATCGCTCCCTCTCCCACGTCTCCCTAGATTCTGCCTCCAAATCATGCTGGGCTTGGTCGAAGGTGATGGGCCTGAGGATGGGAGCAGTATAAGCATTATTGGATTGGACTCGACGTATCGCCACTCCGGACCCTGTATCTTGTTGGTTCTTGTCTTCCTCTTCCGCTACTGCTGCATGCGAGTGGCGGTGACTGATCCATTGGTAGCCAAGATGATTCCCTGGTGGGAGGGCCTGTCGAAGGTCTGGAGCGCAAGGAAAACGGCAATTAATACCGTGTCGAGGGATGACGGCAGAACATGCTATCCCATCTAGTATGCTATATGCACAGCCTCTCGAGTACATATGGCGAGAATTGCAGCAGGAATGGTAGAGCAATGGTTGCTGCTATATTTTCAATTGCGCGCCAAAAACACTTCGGAGTCGGATAAACTATTTTCCTAACCCGATCAGGCAGCTGGGAGCTTCATCATTGAGTAGATTTGTACACGTTCATAGCAACCAAATCTCTGCTCTCGTGAAATTATCACAATACTCAATTCTCTTTGATATTATTGTAAAGAAAAATTGCAAGCTACGAAGACAGCGGTCATTTCCCACTGCAACGATGTCAGGTAACCATGTCCCAGCCGCGCGAAATGTACAGCAGGAGGCGCTGACAGCTCGACACGCAGGCAGCGCTGGCTTTGATAGACATATCACAATCTTCTCAGATCAAGGAAGACTGTACCAAGTTGGTTTGTAACATCCAAGCCTCGGTTCATCTTCGCTTCATACAGAGGAGGCCTGACTGATATCTGGACTGGTCAGAGTATGCATTCAAAGCGATCACAGCAGCAAACATCACGTCGATAGGGGTCCGAGGCAAGGACTGTGCAGTAGTTCTCTCGCAGAAGAAGGTCCCCGTCAGTGATCTCAGCTTACTTGCTTCGAGTTCAAGAAGCGGTCTGACATTCCATGGAGTACAGGACAAGCTCATTGATCCATCCTCCGTCTCACACATCTTCAAACTCTCCCCTTCGGTCGGTTGCGTCATGACAGGATCAATAGCGGACGCACGGGCATCAGTCAATAGGGCCAGAGGTGAGGCGGCTGAATTCAAGTACAAGAACGGATACGAGATGCCTTGTGACGTGCTGGCAAAGAGACTAGCAAACATCAACCAAGTCTACACGCAGAGGGTAAGCACTGGAGAATCCTGAATCGTGCTCGAGACTAAGCTGACGATGGCAGGCCTACATGAGACCACTAGGAGTTGCTCAAACCTTGATCTCGGTAGATTCCGAATATGGCCCCCAGCTCTACAAGTGTGACCCAGCAGGATATTACGTGGGTTACAAGGCGACTGCATCGGGACCGAAACAACAGGAGGCATTGAACCATCTGGAGAAGAAGCTGAAAAATAAGGAGTGTGCCGAGGGGAATTGGGAAGATGTTGTGGAGCTCGGAATATCAGCATTAAGCACAGTGCTCAGTGTGGATTTCAAAAAGGGCGAATTAGAAGTCGGTATTGTGGGAGGGCCCAAAGCGGGCGACAAGGAGGGGACAGATGCGCAGTTCAGAGCGTTGACCGAGGACGAGATCGAAGAGAGGTTGCAAGCCATCTCTGAGAAAGACTGAGGAGAGACTACAAGCAGAGGAGGTGGTATGTAAGCACCACGCTCGCATACCGTGGTGGCGTTGGAGCTGGTGAGTGGCATAAATGATACACTCGTCATGACGAGATTCCTATCTCACCTGCATGAAGTCGGAGAATAGGTCTGAAATATCTTCCAGCTTCTCATGGGTCTCTATAGCATTCCGGCTGGCGAATAGACTTTCGATATCCGCTAGCTTGCGTTAACTGTTCACCCGTAATGGGTGGATTTATTCAGCAACGATGAAGCAAAACCCTCCAGGGCGAAGTACATTGGTGGCCTGCGGCTCAACTTAGTTGGTGACTGTGAGCTCTCCAATGACTGATGCCATAAATCGACGCACAGTGCGCACCGTTAGTGCATTCTCTGTTTTCGGTATGCTGATCCTAAGCAGCGGTATCGCATTGACCAATGGATGCGATTTCTTTCAGCTTGCCATGTGGTGCCAGAATAAGCGCGACGGGAGCAATACGATTTTGGGCAGTCCCAGGCTCTTTCTAAGATCCTTTTAGGAAGTCGCATCATTTTACTTGCATCATCGTGGCGCAGCTGAACTCTTGCATCTACCTCCTTCTCCCTTTCCATTGCACGCCCTCTCGCTACCTCTCGCTACAATGTAGCTTACTTTACCATATCATGTCTTGCTGATTTGATTTGGGGTCAGTCTGCTCTTGTTGTGCTATTCTCATTCCATCTATCAACGCTGCCATCTGCCTCTCTCCGCCATCACCCCCCTTGCAGCTGGTTCAATATTTTGACATCTCACCAATCAAGCCATCAATCCTCTGATACCTTTGACACCTTGAATCGATCAAGTGTCTTCTTCACAGCTCGTTGACCCCTGATACGAATCTCATGGAACGTCGAGATGCATTCATAAAGTAGGCTTTGGGGCCCCTTGAGGGAGAATGGCATGCCTTGACAGCTTGGTGAGAGATCAACATTCCATTCAATGCCTAGCCAAAGTGTCACACTGACCAAGACTAAAATCATGGCAGATGGACGTGAGTCAGGATCACCGGTGACTAATGATCTATGCTAAACCTTGCGACAGTCAATGAAGCCCGGGCGCTGAGAGTCACCGAGATCCTCCAAGACTATCAGAACATCCAACGCCGCATAGTCCAGTTCCAGGCAAACCCTCCGCGAGACGAGTGCAACGAGATCGGCTACTCATCACTGCGCCAATGCCACACCGAAGCTCGCACCTTGCTCAATGTGCCGTACCCTCCCGAGATGCTGCATCCACCCAGTGGTCCCAATGAAGCCGAGAAGCGCCAATTGCAGCGGTACGCACCCTCTCAGTCTCCATCGCGCTTTCCAGTGCTAATCATTCACGAAGAGTAATCATCGACGCCAGCGCCCGCCGCCTCCAGGCCCATAATATCTTCCTGCGAGCCGCCGTGGCCATCAAATGGGTCCAGCGGCGCCAATCCATTCTCCAAGGACGCAAACCGCAAAACGGCCATCTACAAGCCTTGCGCCAGGCTGACGCTACCATGAGAAATGTACTGCCTATCTGCTCGCCCGAGCAAACGTGCGTTGTACTGACGGTATGGTGTTCAGGAACTCGCCGCCATTACGAACGAGAGGATCGCCAACGCATTTCGGACGGCGGACCAACAGGCTGGTTACTGGCTTCATGATGACCCTTCATTGCAGACCATCCTGGGATGGATTCGGACGCATCATTGATGGTCATCGTGTCGGTAGGTCTTCGAATCGCCATCACCCACCTCGTACCATCTCGCTTTCGATTGGTCCTTGGTCGAATGGCAAGTCCCTGTAACACTATCCGCATATGCATCTAGTGTTGCACCCTTTGCTGTTATTGCTTTCGTGGCATTACTGGGCGCTGGCTCGCATGGACTTCAAAGGGTTTCATGTAGATGTTTGGGTTCTGTTTGGCGTGTTCATCGTTCATGTTATCTTTCTCCTTCATCCAATCAATACTTGTTGGGACAGGCTCCTGCAGCAGCAGCATGTTGTGTCTCTAATGTAAACTAGATAGACTGATGTATGAGAATGCTTCACCCTCCGTGCATAGTCAGATCATCAATTTCCGCAGCGCTGCTTCTTCTTCCAGCAGGTCTCTCCCACCCAGCACGACCCTCCCACACCACCCGCACCAGCTCCTCTCCACCCCTCTCTTCTCCCTCCCCAAAACCTCACCCCTCCCCTCCCTCTCATCCTCCCACTCCCTCACCGTGGCCCCAACCCTCTCCCTCTTCCTGACCTTCTTCTTGACCACCCCCCCCAAGCCCTCAATCTCTTGCCACAAATACCCCGCCTCGTCCTTTTCTCCCCACGGACTCTCACCGCCTTCCCTCACCCCCCCACCACCACCACCATCACCGCCCCCGCTCAAACCACCATCACTCCCGTTCCTGCTCCCGCCGCTGCCGCACTCAAACTCCACCTCCACATCCACCGCCCCCTGACACCCCCTCCCCCGCGCGCACTTGACGCCCTCGTTCCCCTCCCCGATCCCGGTCCCCAAGCCCCCATAACTGGTCGCGAACCGCGTGCGCCACGTCCACACGCGGCGGTACGTCGTGTCCGCGGTTGCGAGACTGGCGCCGCAGGGGGCGCAGAGGTGGATGCTGGTCGTGCAGGCGCAGGGGGAGGAGGCGGAGGAGGCGAGGAGGGAGAGGGGGGCGGAGAGGCAGGAGGGGCAGAGGCGGCGGTGGCGGGAGGGGAGGGACGAGGGGGGTGGGGGTTTGGATGTGCAGTTCTGTACGGGGTTGGCCGTTTAGCATAGGAGGGCGGCACGCAATGGTAACCTGGTGGAGTGAAGGGTAGGCGGAAGTGGATGGGACGTACGCGGCAAACGATCCTCCCGCACCGCCGACAATCGCTGACCAGATCCCTCGCACAAGCTGACACTTTGCCAGAGACCAGATGTCCCGCCTCGCCTAGTATATGCCATTTCTGCCCCGGCTTCTCGCGTTCGGAGGACTTGGCATCGCGGAACTCGTTTTCGCAGCGGAGCGTCTGCTGCACGAGGCGAGTGCGGTATTGCAGCAGGTTAGCGCGGATCTGACGGCATGTACGTGACAGGGCGTCGAGAGTGTTCAGGTCCACGTTGTGGGCTAGTTGGGTGACGATGCTGGATTGGAGATGTTAGTCCATTGTGACCGAAAAACGGCGGTCGGACGTACGGATAGGCGCCCAGGGCTGCCGAGAAGCTGTTGATGTTGGGATTGGGCCTTTCCTCGACGTGTTCATCGTCGCCGTTGGCCGTCACCTCCGCCGTCGACCTGTCTCCGAGATGGTGCTTGCGGAGAGATGAGAACCCGCGGGGTTCATTGGGATCGGCGTGGGGATCGTCAGGGACGTCGTCTTCCAAGTCAACAAAGACCACCATGATGCCATATAAATTTGGTAGAGCAAAGCTGTAGGCTCATTAGAGCTACAGCTATTGTGTATAGTAAGAGAAAGCCAGGAGATCGTTCCGTCCATCGAATGTTGACGTTTTGCCCCACACCTTTTGCGCCACATCTTCGCTGGAAAGGGATTGGCTCGAAAATTCAACGAAAGATAGGTAAAGTAGGAGAAGGATGCCAGAAGTGTGGTGTATGAGATATAATTATTATATACGATGAACATCAACATTGCAAAATTCACAAAAAACCAAAAAACGATCCCATGGGTATTTATTGCTCTATCCCATGCCAGTGAGTCCATCGCTATGCTGCCGTTCAAACGAATAAACCCCCAGTCCCCATCATGAACACCGTACGTCCATGATAAATGCAGAGACAAGAGCCACTATAATTTGCCCTTTCCTTTATCCAGCGGGCCTGTACCGCTGCCCTCTGCATCACTAGGATCATTGCGTCGAGTGTTAAATTGGATTCGAGGCTCCTTGGAGACATGAGCATCTTTCGGAATGCCCTTGATCTCCTCTCGGACGTTAGTCTCATCATCATCACTATGTGCATGAGGCTGATCTCCAGCTACTTCAGCCGGTTCACTAGCGTCCAAGGCATGAGTCTGCTCTGTTGGACCAGCCTCGCTGCTGGTCGCTCGGTCTCTGAGATCACTCCAATAGTGCAGATCATTGATGTGGACTCCAGCTGCATTGATCGCTTTGAGGACATTATCAATCTTGAGCTTTTTGGCTGCAGTGTCAGTATCCGAGTCCTCTTTGCCGTTCTCTTTGTCTTTCCCCGTGCTTTCCGTATTGATAGCTTCATCAAGAACCTGAAGGAGGTAGGATTGGAGTTGACGGCATGACGTCTGATGGACAAAAATGGCCAATATCTCCGGCATCTTCTCTGCGAGATAGAAGAGCTCATCGCCGCCTTGCTCTAAGAATACTCTCACCGCAGCAATCTTTTCTCTGTCCACTCTGGATCTTCTGAGGGCTGCCATAAGAGCTGATATGTCGCTAACCTCACCAAGATCTTCTTCCGCTTCATCCTCAGCCTTGACCTCAGGCATAAAGCTTGATTGGTTGTTGGTGGACCTGTCCGCGCTGGACTCACGACTTCTGCTCCTTTTGGCGGCATGAATCGTAAAATAATCCTCATTCAACAGATGTGCATTTTTCATACTACCCTTCTTTCCATCTGCCTTATGTGGGTGTATCCTGACCCTCCTCCTCAGCCACCTTCTCCGCCGTACAAAGGAGTAGAGGAAGGGATGCGTGCCGTGCCACGAGTAGACGCTGTTGAAGCTGAACGAGTATTCCCAGCCCTCTTCGTCGACATCATGCGACATGTCTACATACCATTTTTTCCAATCCCAAGCCCAGCTAGGGTCCGGTAGCTGAAAGTTGGTAATATTGACCGCACTGTCTTTGAAACTGGCCGTTTGCCAAGGGGAAGGGTCGAAGTTGAGGAGCGAGTTCGACGAGTAGAGGGGAATGCCACAGAAAAATGAGCCACGTTGGTTCTCGTAGAGAACGTCAATGAAAGTGTCGACTTTCTCTCGAGACTTCGCTTTTGCCTTCTTTCTGAAAGTTATCCTGTCTCGTAGTCGACCGGTACGCACACTGTCTTTCCTAGGCTCGCCCTCTTGGGACGTCCTTGCCTCAGTATTACCACTCTCGTCACCAGATTCAGGTAATGATTCAGGGTTGTCTTCCTTGCCTTCCTGATATTTTGCGTATTTCCGCTGAGCCAACTGCTTCTGAAGTCCGCCTTTGGTCCATTGTCGGCTCAGAAGAGTTCCGCTGTCTGACCTGGGTATCGGAGAGGATAAAGATGACCCTTCCTCCTCGAAGCTTTCCTTAGGCTTGGTGGTATCCACGAGGTCTATGGCATGGTCATAGGCTTGGGCACCGTCGGTTTGGCTTCGTTCAAGTCCAAAGACTGACATTGCAGCGTTGAGTCTGGCTGCCTGGATTTCATGATCTGACTTTTTTCATTTCTGGAGAGGCTCAGAGAGATTCCCGAGTATGGCGTTGTAAGAGGAAATGGAATATGTCAAGAGCTCAACATGCTCTACAGTGTGGCTGATGAAGCCCAAAGTGGGAAAGCGCCACGCGAGGACGTCATGGGACCGCCAAGGGCTGGACCTTCCAAGCTTCGAAGTTCTCCAACGCCAAACAACAATTCTCCCAAGCTTCAAAAAAGACACAGCTTCAAGCGTCAAACTCTACTCACAAAATCCAACCCGACCAGCAACATTCTGCCATGGCTGGACGTAGGATCGTGTACGTCGGCCTACCTGTTGCAGCAATTGGAGGATACTACTTCTACGCTGCTGGAGGGGAACCCAAAGTCGCGCAGAAGAAAGCCGAGCGTTAGTCCACTGGTAATCACAAGAGTCATCTGAGGGCACAAGCTGATACGTACTGATAGATGATGCCGAAAGCGCCAAAGCCTCGTTGAAAGGCCAGAACATCTCCAGTGCGGAAGCGAAGAAGCAGGGTGAAGAATGGGCACAGATCGCGGGCTCTAAGATCGATCACACCGTATGCATGCCTGCTTTTAACCCTGCTCTAATTGGTCTCAGCTAACAAGAAATCTGCATATAGGTCGATGATGTCCGCAACAAGGTTCACGACGCCGACAAGACTATCTCTGCCAAAGTGAGCGAAGCCGAGGCCAAGTTCGAAAAACTCAAGAACGATACCGCTTCTCAGTTCGACAAGTCTAAGAATGATACCAAAAAGGAGTTCAATCAATCTATTGACAATTTTGATAAGACTGTGGAGAGGAAAACGGCGGAGGCGAAGAGTGGGATCTCGAGCTGGTTTGGGTTTGGCAAGTAGGGCATATCCCAGGCAGTATTCAGATGCTGGTAGGGTGGTGCACTCGGGGAGATAAGATACTTTGGACTTTCGGTGGTTTCATGTTACCAGTGTGTGGAATGAGGTTGTAAACTAGCAACGTCTGTGTTCTAGTACTCGCCTCCACTCATCTTCTCATGCAGACTACCTGCAGCTCCCTTACTTCCCTTCTCTGCACTATTTCCAGGAGCTCTCTTCCGTTCCGCCATTCTTTTCAGGCACCTTGAAAGAGCTCCGCCCCTCATCATACATCTCAGATTCATACTTGTTCGCTGCGCTGCTCTCATCAGCAGACCCAGCCTTGGGAGCATCCTCCCATTTCATGTAATCTTCATCTGACTAGATTAGCCAGAAAGAACTCCCTCTCCACATTCGACACGACATCGTTTATTTGGAGAATGCCACCTACCTGGTTTGCGCAACCACTTCATGAACCGCATTTTTTCGGCCATCAAATCCTCGTTTCGCGAAATCATCCGCTCATGAGTTACCTTGATGTCTTGCTGCATCTCCAACTGCGAGGCATCATTGTCTGGATCGTCGAGCAACCGATTTATGTGCGTTAGGAAGCTACGCAGATCGGCCGTCTCACGGGCCAAGACCTGATATTCGCCGTCCAAGCGTTCATGTTCTTTGGCTTTTTCATGCTCATCGGCCTTTTTCTGCTCCCAAGTCCGCTCCATGATGAGGTCCGGGTTAAGATAATTCATGTATTCGTTGTGCAAATGGTCACGCTCTTTGGCTTTTTCTCTTCCACAGTTGGCTCGAGGACGAATTCGGGTCTGAGTAGTTTCCAATTTGAGAAGGTGCAGTTGAGGACTTTTGAGAAGGGAGGTTTGGAGGAAGAATGATGTTCGAATTGAAGAGAACTAATCTCACGAGTCACTTTGAAGTGGCGAATGTGTCTTCATTCTTTACGAAAACAGAGGTCCAATCCCATTTTCTGTCCATATCGAAAGTGCGTCATCCTCGTCTGCATGAACGGGATCGATGTACTGATGGGCATCGCTCGCTCACTCACGTTGGCGTCCTAGGGGTTCCCGAGCTTCTATCTAACCCCTCAAACGCTATCAAAATTCTAGGCTTTGTCTTCCTTTTTAACTGCTTGCTTTTCCAGAGCTCTGATTTGTGCGATGATCTTGATCGCTTCGCTTGTCAATACCCAATCTTGAAGCCCTTACGCAAGCTTAAAACTGAAGACTCACTCTCGTCTTTGACCTCCGGAATACGCTTCTAAGTTTGGAACGCCTGACCCTCTATCCTCTGGATCTCTCGTTCAAAATTTACTCTGAGGACAAGCAATTTCTGTTGAGCGCCGGCAGTCATGCTACTGCGAGTTTGGAGAGCTTTGTTGGTAACGTTCAGTCCTGTATTAGACCTACAATAGATACTTTTCCATTCCTCTTGCAGGTTATCGAACTCTGTGAAAAGTTTCTTTTGCTTCTTTTTAGGTCCGAGATAGCCTTTTCGTTAGATGAAGATATTGGAGGGAAGGGGGGGTGGAAGCAATTTTTTGGTGATACCAGGCAAATTTGCAGAGAGGACATGACCGGAGAAACGACGAGTAAGTTTTGGTGCGAAACGACGTTTTTGTCCCATTGACCGCCAGCAACGAGAGTGGGAGAGGTGTCCCATCTTTTATCTTTCTTTCAGGGCGCCTTCCGCTCGTTTGCACTAACAGCTGAACTGCATCCCTTCTCGAAATGAGATTATTGATGCAAGCGGCCGAATTGTAGACTAACTTTGGCGTCTTGCCGACAGCATTGTGGGCAATCTTGAGAGAATGGAGCAACGAGTTTTATGACATCCTCCCAGCTACACATCTAGGTTACATTGAGTTTTGCTCGTGTGCATACATCAAAAGCGTCATGACACCGGTCAACCGCCCAAGTGAAAGATCAATGCATGTGCAAATTCCAGTGCTTGCTCCACGCTGGTTACATACATCTTGAGCTCACTGATCTCAGACACATTCCCCGTTTGCTCTTGCTATCCATGTAATCGGATATCAACGTCTCAGTCTCGGTCCTGCCGCCCTATGACGCATCATCAATCTCAGGCATGGCTTGCAGAGCGCCAACGCCGGTAACTCGTGAACCGATACCAACTTTCTACGATCTGATGTCATGTATGTTATTGGGTCGCCCTCAGGCGTGGTTTCTTCAAGCAACTTCGTCAAAACAGCCTTTCCTGATACAAGTATCTCCTCCCAGTTGTCGTACTTCGGAACAGCCTTCCTACAATGCCAGCAGGGTATGTGTTCCTCTCCATTGATCTTCGGCAACTGACGCTTGGTGTAGGTGTTGTAGCCGATCCCGCATGAGATGCAAATGCGCTTGTGGTTGGTCTTCACGGCCTGGTTGTCGGAGAACTCGTTGGTAGGTTTGACCAGTCCGCAGTGCTTGCAAACGCAGTAATTTAGAGGTCGACCCCTTGGAAGGCTAGCTTCTACGCTGGTGTGGCCCTGCACCACCTCCTCCATAGTCATGTCTTCCCATTTGAAAACATTGGAAGCCCAGTCCGAAAAGCTTTTGGAGACGAGTTTGACTTTGAGATAGTCTACAGGACGGATGTGGGAGAGGATGTTCTCGAAGATTTCTGGAGGGACGTCCTTGATAGAAGCAGGCATCGTGATTATTGATAACGGTCTTTCTCGTTGGACTTCCTCTTTGAATGTCTGTTCAAAGGTCTTATGGATGCCTATGCCAAGACGTTGCACACGCATTAAATGAAGGAGACTGTATCTTGACTGCGTGTCACTGCGCCTCGGCCTAATCATCATGCCGTTTCTATCCCGGTCGACCTATGATCAAACCAGACGTGGAGCACTGACAACCACTAAATTTTTTTTAAAAATAAACGGCATTTTCATATTCGTTACCAAGACATACGCCTCACTCAAAGAGATTTTACTCTCACATAGTCTTCACGATTCATTAACGTCACAGCCAAGACCAATGAACGATTCCAACAGCTGCATCTTACTACCGTTGTCGAGAGTACCGGTAAGGTGCTACTCCTCACTCAATCTTGGAGCTCTGTTCTCACACGTCTGTAGTGGCTGGAGAACATGGACCCAGCCAAGTCATCAATGCTCGACTTGGCCATCAATCGCTATGCCAAAGGGATCCGGATCCCCCCTCCGCATCAAGATGATCAAGTACCCGTCAAAGCCACCACGCTCTCTACTCGGTGCTTTTACCAGGGCAGAGACCAAAGCCAAGTTGATGATAAGGGGTCTGGATGTCCCAAAGATATACCTATCCCAAGAATATACCGTGCGAAGATGTACCGAGCACCAGACTGATAAAGCAGCCTATGTTTCCATTGAGATCCAGGGAATGGTCTCGGCTGAGAGCTACATATTTCCATGTCTTGAGACAAATCTGCAACTTGCGATCTTCTGCGAGCTGTATGTACGCAACGACATCATTGCTTTTCCTCCCTTGGTAGTTGGTACTATACCTGTCCATCAACTGCCGTGCCAAGATTTTCGGAGATATCCCCGCGCTACCCACGCAGATTCCCATGAGTGACGAAGTTCCGCTCCTCCAGCTCGAATACGGACTTTCATTTCAACAATGAACTCCTTTTGGGCGCCAGTGTCCCATCAATTTCAAAGACCACTTGCCCTCGTCCCTCGAAGCTCCCAGGTTTTCTGTCGACACCAGCGAGCGCCTCCACCACATCCACCGCGCTTCACAAGAACAATGGCTACCACAAACAAAATCAGAGTCAAGAACCCAATCGTCGAACTAGATGGCGATGAGATGACCCGCATCATCTGGAAAGACATCAAAGAAAGATTTATTCACCCTTACCTTTCGGTCGACCTAAAATACTACGACCTCGGCCTCCCCTACCGCGACGAAACCAACGATCAAGTCACCTTAGATGCCGCAGAAGCAATCAAGAAATACTCTGTAGGCGTCAAATGCGCGACCATCACCCCCGACGAAGCGCGTGTGAAAGAATTCAAGTTGAAGCAGATGTGGTTGAGCCCCAATGGCACGATACGGAACCAGCTTGGGGGAACAGTGTTCAGAGAACCAATCGTCATACCCAGGATACCGAGGCTGGTGCCGGGGTGGAAGAAACCGATTATCATTGGGAGACATGCTTTTGGAGATCAATACCGCGCTAAAGATATGGTCGTTTCGGGTCCCGGGACATTGAGGATGGTGTACACGCCGAAGGGAGGAGAGCCGGAACGGATAAAAGTGTTTGAATTTGGAGAGGGAGGCGGGGTTGCGCAGACACAATACAACACGGACGAATCGATACAGGGATTTGCTCACGCCAGCTTCAAGCTTGCTTTGAGCAAAGCTCTACCGCTATATCTGAGCACAAAAAACACTATACTAAAGAAATACGACGGGAGGTTCAAGGATATTTTCCAGGAGGTATACGAGAAGGAATATGCGTCGCAGTTTGAGGACAAGAAGATATGGTATGAGCATCGGCTGATTGATGATATGGTTGCGCAGATGATGAAATCGTCTGGTGGATATATCATGGCGTTGAAGAATTACGATGGAGATGTGCAATCAGATATCGTGGCGCAAGGCTTCGGGTCGCTGGGTCTCATGACCTCCGTGCTCATCACACCTGATGGCAAGACGTTTGAGTCGGAAGCAGCGCATGGCACGGTGACACGACATTTCAGGGAGCACCAGAAGGGCAATGCTACATCCACCAATCCTATAGCGTCGATCTTTGCATGGACCCGAGGACTCGTGCAGAGAGGCCAGCTTGATGATACGCCAGAGGTGGTAATATTTGCGGAGATTCTTGAGCAGGCGTGTGTGGATACCGTTGGTAAGGACAACATCATGACGAAGGACCTGGCTCTGGCGTGTGGCTTGACAGAGAGGAAGGATTATGTCACGACGCATGAGTATATGGAGGCAGTGGAGAAGAGGATGAAGCGTAAGCTAAAGGAGAAATTGTCAAGCTCGCTAGGCTTGAGTGCTTGAATATGTTCGCCGTAGATATTGGATGTTGGGTATGTAAGATCTCAGTGTAAACCATTGGTGTATACCGAAAGGTAGAAAGCAGGTGTAGACAAAGCTTCCCAAGCCGCTTTGGTTGCTGATCATCTAGTTCGTAATTCTAAGCTCATGCCTGGATTGATCTATCGGCATCATGCAAGTCGCTGCCACAAACTCCCCTTCGGCCAATTGCTCCTTTCATCGCATCAAAGAAGCCAACCCCTAAGACCTCAGCCGTAACTAGCCCAGCTCATTTATCATCCAACGGCAATCCCGTCTTCGGACTAATCTTCAGCACCCTCGCCACCTTATTGAGCAGCGCCTGGTTCTTAATCGCATCTCCCGACTCGAGCGTCTGGATATCCTTCGCCGGCGCGTTCACCTTCTGAGCCAGCTGCGCCTGCGTCATCTTGTAGGGTCCCTCTTTCGAGCGGCGGTTGCGAATGTTCTGGCCGATTTCCGCGGGCACTTTGTTCGGGGCGATGATGTCGTCGGCGCGGTCGACTTTGGTCAGACGCTGGCCTTCGGAGCCGGATTTGTTGGCCTAGAATGGAACGTCTTAGCGAAATAGAGGAAGGTGATGACTGGCACCATTCCATGTAGAAGTGACCACACACGCAAGGTGTTTCTGGGAGGCCTGAAGGTAGAGGCTGAGGGGTGTTGCGGGCAAGACTTACGGGGTTGCCTGTGGCAAATTTCTTTTCGGTGCCGATGACAGCTCCGCTACGCTGAGCTTGGTTGATTGCTCCCTTTCCTCGCACAACGGTTTCACGCTGAGAGGAGCCTCCGCCGGTCTTGCTTCCGATCTTGGTAACGGTGTCCCAATCGTCTGACATGGTGATGGTGTGGTGGGTGTTTGGTAGTGAAGGTAGCTCGGTGATGTCGGTTGGGGGTTTGGTATCGTGTGCTTGATAAGGGCGTGTAAATAGATGTGATGTGTGTGAAAGATGTTTGTGTAAAGGTGTTTGTCAAACTGGAAGAGAGGGTGGAGCTGAGGATGCAAGTGAAACAAGATGTCTTGGCAACGAGTCACCGCTGCGGTTACGCTAAGATAAGCGACTTCCCGATTCTTCGATCAAGGGATCATGACAGCCAAACAAAGAAATGGCGAACGAGCTGAATCTACTCCCTTGGCCAGGAAATGAGAGACCGCCTACTCACTATGCATAATCACGACAGAATAAAGCGGTGACTACTCGGGATTTCATGGATCTATTTGTCGCGGCCTTTGTCTTTGCAGCTGTGTGGTACATGAGATGTAGATATGACCGGCCAGGCGCAGCAACCGATCTCAAGTCGTTCATTCTACTTTGGATTGGGATACCTAGACCAGGTCCACTGCACTCTTCTCCCAGTTGGCGCTGGCGCTCTCACTTCCTTTTGAAAGGATACTGCTGTCTCCAGTGTGCTTGTTTTGTGGGCCTCGGCTTCTTAAACGTCTACTTGTTGCCCCACGTGTACAAGAAACATCAAGAGAACAAGATTGAGATTGAAGAGCTTGAGGCCAAGGTGAAAAGGCTTCAGTGGGATTTCGACCATGGCCGGTACAGCAGCCAATACGACTACAACGATGAATCGAGTCCTTTGAAGCCAATCTTATTTCCCTGTCGAACGTCTCACACACGTTTCTTCCCCCAGAAGCACAACTTTTCCTACTCATACCTTTATGTGGGTATCCCAGTTGGCTGGCGAGGCTGGGTCTCGTCTTTCTTGACTGCAGATCTCAGAACTTTGCCATGGAGGGGCCGGAAACCCAAAAACGGCTGGTTCAACGTTGATTCTGCCGATTTTCTCGCTCGAGGGGATAGCATGCACGGTTTACGGGGCAAGCTTGATACATACCTTGAATCTCAAGTAAGCGCGGGCTGCATGAGTCCCATGCATACACGCTTATGATTTTGAACAGAATGAGAAGGTTGAGGACTACCCCATTGCTTATCTTGTGACTGCGCCTCGATTTCTGGGGTACTCCTTCAACCCTGTGTCATTCTGGTACCTGTACAACAGGACAAAGAAGCTGAAAGCCATGATACTCGAAGTAAATAATACATTCGACGAGAGACGTATGTACTTCTTAAAAGATACGGAGCCTGACAATGGAGCTTCTGTGGATGAGAATGAAAACCTCGCAGCCGGAAAAGTGGATCAGAAGGGTAGCCAGGGCCAGAGTACACCCGATCAGAAGGTACTCGGACGGTTCGCGAAATCATGGCCGAAGGACTTCCACGTGTCTCCATTCAACTCTCGGAAGGGCGCCTACTCGCTTTCGGCTAATGACCCCTTCTTTCCTAACTTAAGTAGCAGGGCTGGTGCAGCCCTCGTCAACAATACCATCACCCTTAGCTCTTCTAAACAGCATCCAAAGCTCATTGCTCGCGTTTTTTCTTCCTCTGATAGCATAGACCCCTACAAACTCAAAGGATGGAGTATCTTTAAATTTATTGCAGCTTGGTGGTGGGTAGGTCTGGTCACGTTCCCACGGATAGCACGAGAAGCAGGGAAGCTCTTCTTTCGAAGAAAGCTACACGTTTGGTACAGGCCCGAGGTACTCAAAGACAGCATCGGGAGGAATGAGACGCAGGACGAAACGTACAGTTATGTGGGGACCTATAATTTGTCACAACTGCTGATGGTGTCTTAGAGCTATCGCCACAATTTTCCGACACTACCTCAAAACCCTTGTCGAAAGTTCAGAACTTCCGTTCGCTCTGCGATTCCTATCGGGCATCGCGACCATGTCTGCCGAGGAATCCTTCAAGCCGCACGCCCTGTGTGACAAGCCAAACATGCAGCAAAGCCCTGTAAATTTCAAGATCACTTCACCTCTCTTCTACGCCCAAATCAGCCGCTGCACATCCGTTTCCGAGTATATCAAGATCGCTCTCTCAAAGCCAGATCCTGGAGCAGCTACTTTCCATACATCTCACCCTGACCTCCTCACAAAACTTTTCGAAGAACCCCCTACTGTATTCAACCTTTTCAACATGCGGCCGTGGTGGAAAGCTGCTTCGGCAGATAAATATGCGGTGCTTCTGGATGTGTTCTCTCTCGCACCCACCTCGCTACTAAATCTCCTCCGTTGGGTACCTATTTACCTTTTTCGGCGCCTTCCGTCTCCATCTCACCACTATGCGCTTTCGGATCTTGATGCCTGCGCCGTGCATCTGCCCGGTACCGACGCGCCAAAGGTGCTCGCATACAGGAAAGCTGTCCTCAAGATGCTGTTGAGCGATTATGTTGCTTTTGGTATGCCAGCTGTGATCGATGCCGCGCTTTGGATCGTCAAGATCTGGCTCTGCTGGCTCTGCGTACAGTCTTTCGACAATTTGGTCGGGCTTTGCGACGGGCATAGGCAATTGACCGTGAACGAGGTTGGGAAGGTGGTGCTGGGGTGTCTGGGCGTGCATTTATGGTGGGGTCTCGGAGAAGTGCTCTAGACCTTTGAACGATGGGCTGAAGACAATGTAAGATACGAAAGCAAAAATGACATACATAATTTTTCACAATAATAATCATAAATAGATAAGTCTTACAATTCGCGTTGGCGCTTCAAGACAGAAGAACATCATCCAAACATTGCAAACCCCTTCCACCATCTGGAAGATTCAACCCCATCAAACATCCCCAAACTTCCACATCACCACCCATCGCCATAACGCCCCATCCCATCCCATCCCACCCATCACCACCACCACCTCTTCATCCGCACCCCGGCAGCCCACTCACAGCCGCCATCTTCGGACCATTACCGCAAACACACGCACTGAACCGAAAACCGGCATGCGTCTCTCCCGTCCGGTGCCCGCACGGTCGAACCCGTCGCCGGCGCCGCGGACTGGAACGGTACTTCCGACCCCGGAACCTTTGCCCGCCGGTGGTTCAAGCTTGCGGGTCGTGTGGGGAGGCGAGGCCGGAGGTGGGGACGCGGCTGTTGGACCGCGGGCGTAGGCGGAGGTGGGTGGGTAGGATTCGTTTGGGAGGGGGGCTGGGGGAGGGAAGGGGGAAGAGGGGGTGAGTGCTTTGCGGGGTAGAGATATCGACAGGATGCACGGCTTACCCTTCCTTCCGACCAGCCGGTTGCGGTGGTGTAGGAGCAGGGTACGAAGGCACGGCCGATTGCGTCGGGTCTGTTGGGCGTGGATCGGGGATGTGTAGTCAGTCGGGTCCCAAGGATGGGGCTTACAGATCGAGATCCCGAGGGTGGTTTCGTTGTAGGGATTCCATACACGGATGGCGAGCAGATGCGTCCTTTTCGAGCAGTGTTATGGTGAGTGATTATGCGGAGCTTCGATCGCAGCGATGACCATTGATCAGTGGGATTGAGATGACGTTTCGTGGACATCGACGAGGGCAAGCGGTGTGGGATCTTTCTGTGATTCAGGAGGCGAGGACGTGCACGAGCGGCAACGCCTACAATTGAAGGGGATAGCGTTGAATTCAGAGGCGGAAGTGATTGTCATTCGTCTATGAATAATGCTGCAATAAATGTGCCACGATTGATGGCGCCAGAGACTCGATACCCAAGCATACTGGCCAGCTCCAGCAAGTGGTGCAGTACTACGACACTGGCATTTCTCTCCTATCCAAAGAGAACTTACAGCTTCTCAAGGAGGCTTTCAATCTTCCTCCCTATTTCGTCCTTTCTCAACCCCCCTCCTTTGATTGTCACACCAAGCATCCTTCCCACGTCCTTCAACGCCACCCACTCCGGAGCCACCTCCGCTAACACTCTTACACACCTGATTATGTCCTCCTTGCCGATCGGATTTCGCAATGACATTTGCAGATGCTGTACCAGCGTTGGTATCGTGAAAGAAACAGGGAATGCCATCGACCTAACCCCGACTGCGGCTGCATCATCATTGGCGTGTTTCTTTGAGGAAAAGGAGAGACTTTCTAGCACAGGCATGATTTCGTGCAGGCGTTGGAGTGCAGATTTTCGAGCCAAAGCCTCTGCAGAGGGAGGTAGAGGGAGGGTAGACTGGTGGAGTTGCTTGGCTTTGAGTCGCGAGAAAAGGTCTGTGGATCGAGCAGAAGTTTGCTTTGTTTTTGGCTGATAAGGAGTCGTGGAATTTGCAGACGTAATAGATAGCGGGTTTTGCTGGGCTTTGATGGCGCCAGCTTTGAGGTCTTCAAGGCGCCGTTGTCCTTTGGAGAGGAGAGGGGTGATCTTCGAGAGAGAAGTGCATGGAATGATCGGTAACAAGGCGAGTGATGCAAGGAAACTTGAAGGAGAAGGGTCAGCCGGGTTATCAGTCTTGTAGCACCTCCAACGCTGCTCAAGATCGCGTAAAAAGACTCTATTTAGGACTTCTTCGTTGACCGGTCGCCTTGTAGTCGTCCCTGAGTTCGGATGGTCTTGGATCTCGACACAAATATTGCCATGACCGTAGTCTGACAGATAAAATGGCCCTGCTCTTTTGGGCCCATCGGCCCCTTCAGGCTCCCCTATGGCCAGTATCCTCCTCACATCTTGCGGAGATACTCTTCTCTTCCTCCACGCTCTTTCAATCCCAGGTGCAAGATTGCGTAGATCCGCAGGGGTCATGGATCCATTGTGCGCATAGTGGAGAGATAGGGCGGTGAGGAACGAGGAGTGCAGGTTGACGAGGTCATGCAACTCATCTGGCAGTTGGTGCGAAGCGTGATGTTCAAGTGATTCGCTCTCTGCAGAAGCTGGAGATGAAGGTGGTGTCTCATGGTATGTTGTGCGTGATGAAGAGCTTGGATTCGAGGGCGAAGACGAAGCAAGAGCAAGGGATTCGACACACGAGCGAGCGCCTTTTGTTGGGGTTTCTACGTGAATTGATGGTAAAAGCGCCTTCTTTCGAGGATCACTTGTCTGAGTTGAGGTTGACGTTGGTGGATCAGCCGATCTTTCCACCTCTCTGCTGCTGCTGCCATCTATGGGTGGTGCCTGCTCGCTCAGGCTCGACGCTTTCTCGCCTTCCTCCTTGTGCGCAGGACTCCATATGGATCCCAGCTTCCGCTTCTTGCTATTTTGGCCGCTGAGAGCGTCCTTGCTATGTTTTGCAGTGCTGTCCTTGCTCAAGTGGCCTTGCCCAGGATCTTGTACTTGCGACTTGGAGATCTTGCCAAAAGCCTGGATTCCTCGCTGAGCGGCAGGAGCAGTCAATGAACGTGTCGTAGTTGCCAAGGTCTTTCTTCTTTTCGCCGCCGGAGGCATTGCGATTTCCTTTACAGGCTGGTGACTTATTCTGTTTTATTGGAAGGTGCTATCGAACTCGCGGGATGCTCGCGTTTGGCCGACGCGTTTGGATCGACGCGATTTAAAGGCTGCGCTTTACCCGATTTGGACATGCTACCAGCTCCGCAAATTTGGTTAGGGGTCTCTGGACTGCTGGATGACCACAATACACAATAGCGTGCGGATTTCTTGTAACCAAGCGCTAGCTTGATAGATTGATTTGTACTGGGCCTTTGACTCCTCCTTTGAGGATCTTGTAAACACGGTACCGCTTGAATTTTGCCATCGACGACTATCTTCATAGATACAAGCACGAAACCCATTCAACCTCACACTGTCAGCCCAAAGACTTTGGGGCAGCTTTCAGTATTTTCGGCAATGCCAGAGTATACTTCTGTGTGGAGGGGACTTGTGGATTTTGATATCGTCGAGGCCATTGTATGTGGCTCTCATCTCCCGGAGCCCACCAGCCGGTCCCGCCTTTCCCCCAGATCCGCGATCTCTCCTTCCAAGAGACCTTCTGCCTGTCCATCTCGGCTTGCTGTTCAAGACATCCTGAATATCCGGGTAAGCGCTCTGCGGCCAGCGCCTGGACGGGAAGCGCGAAGAATTCCCACTCAAGAAGTCTTGTGAGATCCCACATAACGTAGCCTCGCTGACGAAACCGGCGATGATCCTCTAAGAAATAGAAGCGGTCCTTGGAACATTCAGCATGAGCCCAACGCCATGCTTCGGTGGGACCGCTATCATTGTCGTCATCAAAAGGAGGGCTGACCAAGGTTCTTTTTCTTCGTCGCTGTCTTCCTCAAGCGGAACACCATCGTGTTGGAGCAAGCGGGGTGGGATCATGGCGTCGGAAAGGAAAGATTCCCCGGACACCTGATCCGACTTTAAGAGTCTGTGTCGATCATCATAGGTACTAGCGGTGCTAAGCTGGAAGATGAAGTCCAGGCCTACTAAAAGGTAACGCTCCTTGTACCAGATTTCACTGCTACCAAACGTATCGACCCAAGGTATGGAAAGTTCGCCCCAGTCAACGTCGTGCTCAGCAACGTCATTGAAGGGAACTGTGATCTCTTCGACAAGGTAGTCGTAGATGCAGCCCAATTGTTCGTTCTCCCACGGTGAAAACAAATCAAAGAAAATTTCTCGTTGTTCTGACGCTCCAAAGGGTCTGGGCTGAATCAGACAGTTCCGTACACCTCGTACCATACGATGATAGCTTGGCTTTCGGAAAAGATTGCAATAAAGCTCGAATCGGTAGAGGGTGCGCTTAATACGGAGTATCTCTGTAAATGATGGTGCAGCATTTGAACCTCGAGTGGAGGGATTTTTGGAGAGCGCGGAAGATGCGAACTCGGTGGCAAAGAACTCCACGCAGCTGTGGAATTTGCTCATACGAAGGGCTTCAGAGAGATTCCATTTTTGAGCCTTGTGGGGGACGGAGTTGCCGAAGTACTCGTCTAGGAAATCCTGAACGGCTTGCTTAGTCCACACCGGTATTCTGGAGGCATTGTAAGCTGCAAAAGCACCATGCATCAAATCCGTGGGTATTTCGTTCTGCAATACTTGACTGAGTATGAGAGTTTGGGCGTCTAGGAAGGTATAGTAGAATGAGGAGGACACCAAGGCAAGTGACTTCGTGCTAGTCACATCTGGAAGATTTGCGAAGACGGCGCACTTTAGCTCGGGCGTGAGAGAGGTTAGCCGAAGCTGAGCTGTATCGCTTGCTGTATGAGGTCTAGCATTCGGTTCTTCCATCTTCAAAGTTGATATGGCTTTGTTGTGAGAGCTTATTGATTTACTCGGCTGGTGGATGAAGGAATGGAAGAGTCACTTGAATGTTGATCTGCGCTAATCCCGAAGAGACTATAGGTAGCTTGTCGGAAAATAAGGCAAAGCAGGCTTTGCTGCAGGTGCTCCTCCTCTCAATCTGCATTAGTAGGTTTGCAGTTCCCAATTACCTCGGTGCAGGCAGGCTGATCCCTATTTACCCGGGCAAAGGTAATCTGTTCATGCAACAACAGACAGTGAGGTCCTCCAAGTTGCTGAGACTATGTCAGATGCTCTGTGCAAGATGCCAGAAGGAGACGGTATTGTGCTACAAAATTGTGGACAATAGTCCTATTGAGCGGTGTGGCTGGACTACAACGGCATCATGGTCTGCCTACCGTTCGTGTGTCGCACGCAGCGAAGACATCATCACGACACGTTCATTTGGGTTAGAGCTGGATGTTGCAGTGGCTCGCGGGATATATCCCCAGGACTTCACTAATTTCATTTAGATTTGAGCCTGGTCTCACGTCAGCTCGTGGGATGCATCCCAAAGACCATGACACCTCCCTTTAGATCTGAACCGGGACTTGCATTCGGTTGTGTGATAGTTTTTCAAACTGAGGCTACTTTCATTCTCTCATTTGAGATCAAGCTTCACGTTGCTTTGGATGAGCGGTTTCACCCATTGAATCCTGACATTTTCATCAAGACTAGAGCTTGACACTGCGTTGGATCATAGCATGAATCCTCTAATCACGACTATTCTGTTGGGACTAGCCGTTTGCATATATCTGAATGATAACAAATGACAACCAGGTGCAACTACTTCGACACTTTGGTAGGGTGTCGATCTGTGGTTTGAAATCCTTTGATGCAAGCTGCCTTCCATCCACTTATGTCATAAGAGTACCCAAACCTGTCCTCACGATTGAGAGAGGAAATGGTCCACATGTTTAACCTCGCCTATCACTGCATTGCGGCCAAAATTCCCTTCCCGCCCATATTCCAAGAGCGCATCTCGCAAGAATCACTCCCAGCAAAGCGCGTCGCTTGCAGGAAGTCTGCGCAAGTGCACCGCAATCGCCAGATCATTGAAAGATCTCCTTCCCCTGAGGTCCTCGTGGGAGAAGGAACTCTCAGCTGATCATTTTTAACATGCACATACGCCAGGTTTTCCCCAACGCAATAACAACCATTTTCCGGCTCACGCTATGCGTCGCCATTGCCCGCTGCCAAACAGCAGGGAACGAAATAGGAGACTATGCGGAAAGCGACACCTACCTAATCGTCTACTGCAACGCCAACACCACCGGCTCCCATGCCGCCTACCTGCAAAACCTGATCCCTTACATGCAATCGAACCTGCAGGCCGTCCTGAGGGACCTAGACCGTGGGACGGCATCACCAGCCTACCGCGCGTTCTTCAAAACGACCAAGAACCTCGACGCCGTCCGCCAAGTCTTCACGGACATCATCAACGGCCCTGACGTCCTCACCGTCGGTGCGCTAAACGTCACGCGTTGGTCGCCTCCGACGTTGGTCTGTGCGGACGCTGATGAACCTCTCTTACAACATCTGCGGGACAACTGCAACACCCCTACCCGCCCTCCCATGAACACGATGCAGCCCGCCAAAATCGTCTCCATCTGTCCCATCTTCTGGACCCTACCCCGCGTCGCGCGCAAAGCGGCGTGTCCGTGGGTCGTGGGCGGGAGGCTTTTGACCGAGCCGTGGAATCTGAGGACGACGCAGTACGCGGTGCTTGTGCATGAGTTGGTGCATGTGTACAACCGGTTCGACGATCGCGACGAGGTGTACGATTTGGGAGATGTGGTCGGGTTGAACGCGACGGGGAGTTTGGGAAATGCGCAGAATTTTGCGAGTTATGCTGCTGGTGAGTGGTGATTTGATGGTTTTGTCGTCTGCGATATGGGATTGTGTGGACGATGATGAGTGAGGAGCTGATGATGATGTGCGGCGATAGCTGTTCAAGCGGGATGTACGGAGTTTCCTGCTCCATTGGATTCAGGAGGTGCTGGTACGTTTGCGCCAGCGGTCTTACTTTTCTTTCGATGATTTTCTTACTGACACCTGCAAGACGATGATGGGTGCCGCGGGAGATGCTTGGGTGCGCTTAACGACACGCTCGACGCTGCTAGAGTGTCATCCAACAGCACTGCAGCTAGTGGAGGACTGCTGTATACAGATTGACTGAGGCCTCTCTTAATTTCAACCAGTAAAGTAAAAGTCACGATTGGATCCAGGTAAGCTTGGCCCGGTTCCGCCTAATGTATGCTGCTGCAGAAGGTGCAGTGGCCGGCATAAACGCCACTGGAAGCATCGTCTATACAATCGGCCAATCCCGTTCGTTCACGTAAATTTGCGGGTACCAATCAGTGTGAGCTGACTTTGCATACTGGCTGAAACTTGATTTTGCTGCGACATAGACCCCATTTCCTGAGCGCGGTTATCGAAGTCGTGAAGTACGTTGCCATGGAATCTGGCCTGTTCCTGCTGTGGCTAGCCAGAGCCAGATCTCTATCCGATTGATTATGGCTTGCATGCTGCAGGTAGTCCGGTAAGTAGCATGAACCCCGCAGGTGATAAATGTCGCTGATGGATCACCATCACTTGTATCTACTGCTTGTCCGGTCTCGGCTTGAATCCGCCTTACCAGTGCTCTTGTTTCGTCCTTCCCGAGCTTCCCCCTCTCCTTTCAATGCTGTCAATTCCTTCAAGCAATCGCCAACACCTATAGCAGCACGTAGACTGATATACAACGATTACGCCCTCTATTCCGACGCTGTTGATTGGTCGCTTGCCTGCCTTTACATGTGTCATTTCCTCTAGCAATGCGAAAAATTTCGATTACCTTCTCGTAATCATGGCAAAATCTTCATTGAACGTGCTCACAATCGGGGTTTTGATACTGGCACTTTTGACGGTCGCCCATGCCATCCGATCCTACCGCCGCTTGTCTCACATCCCTGGAACCCCCTTGCAGCCATTTCCCGTCTATGGCTCCTGAAGAGTCTCTGGGGCAACCGTACCCATCTAACCTCTTCGAAGTGAACCTCAAATATGGCCCTCTCGTTCGCATTGGGCCCAACCGCCTCTTAATTTCCGACTCGGAACTTTTCCATCGCATGAGTGCTCCCCGATCACCTTATCGTCGAGGCCCATGGAATTCGACGACGCGCCTCACGCCAGGGGTAGATAATGTGCTTAGCGAGCGACAAGAGGGAAGGCATATGAGTTGAGGTAGAAGATGGTGGCTGGCTATGCGGGAAAGGAGAATCTGCGGTTGGAAAGTGAGATCGACGAGCGTATACATGATCTGATCAGCTTAATCGAGCGCAAGTATGTCTGCACTGATAGGAGCCGGGTAGGCGAATGGACATGGCACAGAAAGCACAATTCTTTACTTTGGATGTGATCTCTGGTTGGGCTTTCGATCAAGCTTTTGGGGATTTGATCGTTGACGAAGATGTATTTGAGTACATTAAGACGGTTGATAAGGCAATGCATGTGCTGTTGTCGATGAGTGAGCTACCGGACGTCTATTCTTTTCCCGAGAAAAGTTCATTGATGAAATTGGTGGCGCCGTCGGCTACGGATAGGATTGGGTTTGGTAAACTCATTGCGATCGCGAAAGAGAAGGTTGCAGAGAGATTTGGAGATAATAGGAAGGTAAAGTAGGATATGCTGGGGTCCGTTTTGAGGCATGGATTGAGCCGGGAAGAGGCGGAGTCTGAGGCCGCGTTGCAAATGTATGTTTCCACCGCTGCTGGGGTATCTGCTCACATCCGGGCTGATATGGGCGGGAAAGACTTGCAGGGCCCGATACCACAGCTACGGCTATCAGAGCTACTTTTCTCTTCTTAATTACAACGCCCAGGGTGCTATGGCGCTTGAAGGCGGAAATTGACGAGGCTGTGGATAATGGCAGCATTTCGAGTCCGACTCAAGATTCCGAAGCGAGACCGTTGCTGTATCTGCAGGCTTGCATGAAAGAAGGCCTGAGACTGTGGCCGCCAGTCACCGGGCTGTTTCCCAAGGTGGTTCCGCCTGAAGGTGAAACGTCCAATGGCGTATTTCTCCCTGGTGGCATTGAGATCGGGTAAAGTCCCCATTGTGAGTTCTCAACAGGATTGCCTGGCTGACCGTAACCTGTAGACACTCTCCTTGGGCCATCCATCGCAGCACTATTGTCTTCGGTCCAGACGCGAATGTCTTCCTTCCCGAACGCTGGCTCGAAGTCCCAGAGCCTCAATTGCAGGAAATGGAACGGAACAATGAGCTGGTCTTCGGGCACGGGCGCTTCAGATGTCTGGGGAAGACTGTTGCGTTTATGGAGTTAAACAAGATTTTCGTAGAGGTATATTGGCTTCCATTCTGTGTGCGGGAAAAGCTGTGATGATCGCGATGGCTGATAGATTCTGTGCGATGCCTGTAGCTGCTAAGTAGGTATGACGTTTCCCTCATCGACCCCTCGAATCCATGGAACTCGGTGAATGCGGGGACCTTTGCGCAAAAGGACATGTGGGTGCGAATTACACGGAGGGATGGATGTATGGACTGAGATGTACTTGACCACTAGGGATTATAGCCTCCCTTTTGATTTTCCATAAGGTAGCTCTCTGTTGTAGAAGTATGTTGGCAAAGGTGCAAAGACAGTGCTCCGTTATGCTTCGTATGGTGGATGGAAGTCAATAGTATGATACCTTGGCGCTGATCTAGAATAAATTACAAACTAGCGCGGTTACGGTCCCCAGCTCGACTTCACTAAAAGATAAGATGCTTGTAACTACAAGTAAGGCATCAACTTCAGGCACATGTGATGGTCATTGCTCTTCAGCAACTTCTTTCAGACTTCCATAGAACCCACGATGTTTGGTCATTTCGAGGTGACGTCATAAGAAACCGTATTCTAGGCAGCGGAGCTACTGCGAGTAGAATCCTTCGAACTACTCCTCAATCCTCGAATCGCTCTCCTACCATTACCAAATTTCACATTCCATTTCCGAAATTCCACTGAATCAAAAGCGCTCTACGTCCGTATACGCTTGAAACATTCAGGTGACCACCATGCCACCAGTTGACACGAGCAATGTCAACCCCATCATGCCACCAATCGATACATGCAATGCCAATCCCAGGACGGCGTCAATTGACACAAGCTTTGCCAATCTCACCGTGGCGCCAATGGACACAAGTGATGCCAATCCACAAGGAAAGTCCCCTCTTTTCGCTCGGATTCCGGCAGAAATCCGCAATCACATCTTCGACCTTGCCCTGACTGCCTACTCCGGCAAGCAAGAGCCCTTTGAAAAAGACAGCTACTATTACAGGCCTGGATTTCGCTATGCCGATCAGATACTCGACACAGCCCTCCTGCGCACATGTCGACGCATCTACCAAGAAGCGTGCCTCGTCCCATTCCAAAATTACGAGTGTGTTGAATGGCACTATCGTGGACCTCCCGCGAAGATAGCTAGGAACTTTGCTCGAGGTAACTACAGTTGTCCATGGTTGACCTCGCTGCACTTGTTCACCCAACAGTTCTGGCTCGAAGACTCTTCTTGGCCCTCTAAGGCACGAAATGTCGCTTTCCGATACAAGAACCTTCGCCATCTAAGAATTACTATCAGACACAGTGACTGGTGGTGGTGGGAGAGATCTGCACCACTCCTACTCGATGCAAAACAGAAGGGAACCAAGGGAACTGCGTCAGCTACAAGGCATAGTACCGCCGCTGATGGGTTTCATGTCAACTCATGGGGACACCAGTTCTCGGTCTTCAAGGGGCTGAAGACATTCGAGCTGGAGCTTGAGACTGTCGAGGGCAAACGAAAGGAGCTCGACGAGATTGCCATTCGGGCAGCGGACTGGCGCTTTCCACTTGGGGATGGTAATGTTTTGGTCTTGAACCCAGCAAGAACTAAGATGACTGGCTGGCGTGGGGTGAAGCTTCGTAAGTGTACCCCATCCGCTATACTGACCACGCGCGAAAACATCTGCTAGAGTACTGACGAAGCCGACAGTTAGGGGAGTGCATGTACCTAGCGACCCCAAAGAAGCTAGGGAGAGGCTCGTAAAGGACGGTGTAGACTTTAGAGTCTGGGATGGCGAGCCGGAGGTTTCCGAAGATGATTGCTTGACGTACTATGTGGTGTTGTTGATTTATGAGGCTAAGCAAGGATAGAATTCTACCTGGAATTCCGGAAAAGATGTGCTCCTACATTAATGAACATGATGACATGCAGACCGATGACCTATTTGACTAGCAGATTACAACATATGTGACCCACGACTCCATTGCCTTCTTGGTGCTTCGAGCTGACCGATTGAATGAACAGTAGGCTTGATCCACCATCTCAATCAATCGCGTGTTTCACTGCTTAGACAATAGGCTTGATCCACCATCTCAATCAATCGCGTGTTTCACTGCTTAGACAAACAGCTTGTGTATTATTGTAAACTTTAAATCTGCAAATGAGTTACATTACGATCGGTTCTTTCTGTGGCCCATACCGTACCGTTTACATCTTCTATGAGAGTAAAACAGGCCCTGATCACGTCTTGTTCGATTGAAGCAACCAAACGCCCACCAACGCCCACCAACGCCGAGAATCCAACTGAAATACCGACAGAAGTTCTCTTCTGCACATTGAGTCTACTGCACACGGAATGAAAGTTCTTGGCTTGCTGCGTGAGGTCAGCACTAGCTCGAACGACTTATTTCACAGAGCCTGTATCGCCTCCCGTACGTTCCGAACTTCCATTTCGAGGTGTTCATACTGCTTGACGCGTTGGAACACCTGCCTTTGGAGATGATTCGCCCGCCTACATGCTTCGTCAGCTCGCCTCTTCCGGACATTGAGTCTACTGCACACGGAATGGAAGTTTTCGGCTTGCTGCGTGAGGTCAGCGCTCGCTCTCAACTGGACCCAGCGTATGTAAACCATCTCCAGTCCTTGACGCCGTTTGATTGCCTCGATGTTGCGGTCGAGGGTATTAAGGAATGTCTGGTTGGTGTGGACCACATGAGCTTCAGGGCCCAAAGCCTCGGTGTAGTGCTCTTGGAGATTGTCCAAGGAGATGAGCTCCGATTCATGATGCTGACTAACAGCGCGGGCATGGTCCGAGAGTGCGGTAACGTACCTGAAATGGCCGAGGCATGCATTAGCATGTCTGATGCGAAACTCGCCCCCACGGATGTACCTATGTGCGTAAGTTCCGTAGCGTGCGCGTTGCTGGTGGCTCGCAGCTACCGCATCGTCTGCTGCTTCGCCAGTCGCTATCAAAGCCATCCGGAGAAGATTCCAAGTCTGTCCGAGAGTGTACCATCTCTGGACAGTGACACGACGCTCGATGGCATCGTGCTTGATGTCTTTGACTTGGTCCTGTACCCGAGCCAAAAGGTCGAGACCCTGGGCATATGGGGAGGGCATGGTAATGTTGGTTTCGCGAATGGACAGCCAGCAGTCTTTGAATGGTTCGGGGTAGCCCTCGATCTGTACAATTGTACGGAGAGATAACGAACAATCCCTGAAGATCGATTTGGATTATAAAAAGTTGACGGAAAATCCGTGACAAAGAAAAGCGTCACACAAAGGAGCATCATGGAGGGTGATGAAGCACACAATGAGGTTGAGCTCGTTCATCCACAATGACTTTGAGTATCACGCAGGAAACACCCGTTGTGAAAAGAGAAGCGCAACGCGAACAAAGGAAATCCCAAAGCCGTGCAGAGTCAGATTTTCGGTGAAGGTCTCATCGTCCATAACCTTGAAGTTGCCAGGTACTAACGCAAGATAGGTACGAGTAAATTCCATGGGGGTTATAACGATGGCGGAATGATTGCGTCGTCCTCTCTTTTCCTTGAGATGATGCAGGAATGCAGGAGCGCCGGCTTCGAGGGGCAAGAACTATGATTACTTGGGAGGTAATGCCAAGATTCTTGCCCCGTGACCTTTTTCAATCGCCGTTAGTACTTGACCGAAGCTCTTTCCCTTCCCGTACTGACAAGACCATTCGCCAGTCTCGCTTCTCTCCACCCTTGACTCTCTGCATGTTCAAGGTCCAACAGGTCAATTAGCTATTTGAAACAGCACAAATCAATTGTTGGTGACGGGATTAAAGTCTACACAATGAAAAGATAGTTACCATTTACCACCTATTCAGCTCATCGTGCTGCGCTAGGTGCTAACGCTGTCTTTCTTATGACGAAATGTATCTGCATATTCTGCTCGTACGTTGTGGACCTTGTGGACATTGTGCCGTCGACTACATCATTGACCCTCACCTCCAGAAATAATCTTGGTATGCGCTTCATCAATCGAGTTATACCAATATTACAATTATCATCGTCACGCTCCAGGATAATAGACAGAGTACACAATACCGCCTAATATCGTCTCTCTCCACCCCACCAGCGACTTGAGGTTCGCACCCGTCAATTATTGAATAGTATGAACCTTGGACTCCAACAAGGCAAGACTCGGATCCTTGCATACCACTTTGAGGATTTTTGCTCTTAGGATTTTTAGGACAAAGCAAGGAAGCACAAGGACTTATCGTTGTTGTCTGTACTATCTACTTTACCTGAATTGCTCCTCTCCGGACACAGCCCTCAAGCTCTTGTTTCAAAGCTCTGGCGTCCACGGTGCCACAAGTTACCTCCGGAACAACGGCTTTGTTTCTCTCTACTCACCACAAATCGGAACCCCCAATTCCCCACAGATTCAATATGCTTCTTATCATTCCCTGAATCCATATATTAGGATCGTGAAGGTCTTGCCAAGTCACTCAAATGAAATGGTACCACACTTGATAAGGCTTTACATATTTTGTAGCATTTCTGCCCTTGATGGAAGCCGAGAATGCCACGTGCGTCTTGAGGCAGACCCAGCCCGATTCCCAACTCATCGAAGTACCCGCCACTTGCACCTCAATTGCATCCTAACCCGTTCGAAATTTGATTGATACGAGTATGCTTGCTCTATGCTAAAATTCGCAACGACAGATTTTGTGCCACTTACTCAACTGCTATCCACAACCACTCCTGCCATCGACACGTCATCGACCCGTCATCAAACTCTGATAAAACTATAGGGTCATCCAACGGGCCAAGAATGGGAATGGAGCTCGAACGGCCAAACCTTTCTCTTGCTTCCATGCATGTCGACTTGTCAGGCTATCCTTTGAGATGTTAGGTGTGCGCCTTGGCATCACTCTCCGTATGCTTTGCTTTAACCCGCAAGCTTTGAATACCTTGCTGGCCCTTCTCGGAGTTCTGCATCTTGTCTCGGCCCTTCCGTCAGGCCTTCGTCCTCAGAAAACACAAAATACTTCTACTGAGCTGTATGCAAGATGTATTAAAGGAGAGTACGATACCAACCCCACAGGGTTTGTAGAACCTTGTAGCCCCGGTTCAGGCCTCGGTGTGCCATACGGCGGATCCATCGTCTCCACATCCACCAACGCCATTTCGCCGTTGAAGTTCTAATACACTCTACCCGAGCGGCGCCACTGTCCGCACGAGTAATAATGTAAAACAAGCAATCCTAGCGCTGATGATCCTTGAACCTCAAGAAAAAGAATTCTTGACCTTGGTCGTCGTTACGATAAAGAAACTGAAGCTCTTCTGGCGCTAATACATGAAATCCTTGAGTACAGACCCCACCATCACATCGGCTGGAACCTCATCAGCGGCGGTGCGCCAGCCAAAGCGATCGATTACGGACAGGGTTCCTCAGCTACGATCCCCAAAACCATGCCGACGCCGTGCTACGCGGGCGATTCGGCTTGCGGGGCGGCGGACGGTGGGTGGTATCCCAGGGGTCTTTACTAGGTAATCGAGGCGTTAGGTTCGTAGGACTTGGGATACTTTTTTGTCGGGAGCGTTGGATCCGTCGACGTCTCGCCTTCTGCCGCTCGTTCTTGGCTCGGGTGACATCCGGATGTGAGAGATCTGATTTCTGTGAGGGGCAGGCGCCGGTTCGGTGACCAGAGTAGGGGATGGCGAACTCGAGGTAACTTGACTCTTTTTGGGGTCTTTTGCCTCACTACGTGACTCGTCTACCATTTGCTTTTGCATCCGTAATTTTCACAGACCGTGGTCCCATCTCCGAAAAAAGCCCACATATCGTGGGTTAGCACGCCAGTTCAATGCCGAACAAAGCATCGCTCTGCCCCCCCTTTTCCTCCCCCTTTCCATGGCCCAGTACCCTCTCAATCCTCCTCTTCCTCCATTTCAACCAACTCTTGCTTCTTCTCGCCAACGCTGCCAGCTGTCAGAGGGACCAATCCGCCAAACTAGACCAAGTATGAGGGACAACTACTGACACCGTTCCGGCAAAATCTCACAAACAGAGCCACGCCCATGGCAATATCGATGAATATGATGATGACGGTAGCCGTCGAGGCGTCGGATGTTCCCCACCAGTGAGAGGTCCCCGATGGGGCTGCGTTGTGCGTTTGTGCCGGCGTTGCGGCGTTCATGTCGCCTGGCGGGCGTGGTGAGAGGGGGTTGGTGTTTGGGTTTGGGAGGCCTTGGTTGGGTGTTGACGAGGCTGAAGGGTGTAGAACAGGGGGTTTACGCGTTTTGTTGGACGTTTTGAGACTGCAATGATTGGTGCTGTTTTGGGAAGTGTGAGCGGTGGGGTAAGGAGCCTGAATGTAGTGCTATAGCTATGGTGGGTAACAGTCGACGGAATGTGTTGAGTAAGAGGGTATGAAGCCATTCTTCACATACATACGTTCTTGTTCCGTAAGTCCGTGGAATAAGTCCGTCAAGACTCAGCGCTGACCTCGACGTGTTCATATATTGACAACACCGACTTATTCGGTTGCTGTTTGTCGACTTAATGCCCACATCTCTGTCGCTAGCCGTACACATTTATTTAGCGAGTGTTTTTCTCTGACCATGTTCATGTTAGAGTTCTCTCCGCATTTGGATACTGGATATTTTGTCTAGGGGATTATACGGGGAACCGGTAGCAATTCTCAAAGAGCAGAGGTATATTTCAATTGTCAGCTGGTCTTTCATTCCATTCCCCCTTTTCACAAAATTGGGCGCTTTGCGAATGGCTATCTAAGGTAGCACGAGATCCATTTCGAAAGACGGAGAAGCTTGAAAAGGTTTCAATAGCGATCTCGGTACAAAGGGATGAGTAGCTAATTGACGTAAGAATACAGGAAAGTCTTTCTGACGGCGTGAAGTCCACAATATGCGCAGATTTCACAGTTCCGTCACGAAAATGGGCGCGGCGCATTGTTTCTGCTAAGCTGCGTTGCTACTTCTTCTTATGCCAGAGTCTAGACCAGGCCAAGAAGCTTGTATGGAAGTTGTGCGGAGAATTTATGAGTTCAGCTCAGGTGGCTAACATTCCAGATTGCAACGAGTATACTGCATGGATAGGTTAATGTCGAAATAAGTTATGTAGGCTCAAGTCTAATGGTGCAGCAGATTTTGCAGGAGTCATCCTTTCTTGCTCTGGGGAATCTATCCCAACCTCTTGCTCCGAATTCAACCTACCTCCAGCCGCCTAGACCGACTCCAACGGGAAACACCACAAGAGTCGTGGGTCTCCAGCTGCTTAAAGTCCAGCACGACGCCGAATTATCCGGACGCATCCCTGTTGGAGAGGCGGAGGCTTTGGAATCTGCGCCGCGTCCGGAGCTAGAGCTGTCACCCCCCGAGAAGTAGCAGGTCGGAACATTGAGATCATTGTGATACTGCCCACCGCAAAGTCTCTGTTGCATCTATGCTCAATCCGAAATTCGACCTTATTCTGCGACGACCGATCGATCGTAGGATTTCCCATCATGACTGTAAGGACGTTCAACTCTAAGGTAGAGGTTTCCGTGCTGTTTGGAGTTTGGATACCGGACCTTCGACAGCCAGAGCTTTTCAGATGCACGTCCCGAGTCTTATGAGTCGTAGAAACAGCAATTGATTAGCATCATAGGTGGAAGCGGTATTAGGGTCTACCCTTTTGATCGACCTCGTTACAAGTACAAGAGCCATGACTGTTGACCAGATCCATATAGCGATCGTGGTTGGTTCCTTAGGCTGGCAATAATGGCATGTGGACCATAGATTGGCCTTACAGTCCTCGACTGGAATGACAATCCTAGAATTTCAACCAAATCAAAACGGTATCATGGGCGAGAGTCATCGACTTTGATGGGCCTTAACGGCACGATAGATTTTGCTGTATAACGAAAAACGGTCACCATGGAGTTACTGCTGGAGTATGGCGGCTACCGCGCTAGTTGAGATTGCCGCCGGTGTTGATTCCTGTTGAATTCAGTCTCACACTTCACTTTCTTTTTCGCAAGTCACCAACGAGCATCGCTCCTGCCTCACGAGTTAACGCCATCCAAAAAATCGCTTGAGACGATTCCAGCTGGCTATGCTTATCTGAACATTATGTCCCCCGTACTCGATACTCTTTCAACCATCCTGTCAGACCTAGATCTGGTATCCTCATCGGGCAGATATGACGCCGCAACAGGGTTCAAAAAAACCCAGGCTGGCTTTTACGATTGCTTCGACAAACTGATGGCCGCAAGCAAATCCTTGATTGCAGCCTACCACTCGATGTTGGAAATGCACAAGGACTGCGCCCGCATGATAAACCAACTCTTGGCTCTGGGCCAACCAAATTCTGTCGTCGTTCAGCATATTCGGGCGCGGAAGGCACAAATCGAGCAAGATATGCTAGAGATGGAATCGATTCAATGTGAGACTATGCGATCGATACAGCTGCTGCATGACGGCAGTAAGTGGATCGCTTGGGGACCGATTGAGGTTGTATAACTAAATATTACCAAAGATCAGCTCGTCATTCGGATACTTCGAAGATTGAAGCAACCGGAGGAGGAAAACCAGAAAGGCTGCAAGCGCAAAGCCGATGAGATGGACGGAGAATCGGATTCTGGATCTAGTGAGGCAGAGTAAGTGGACCTTCGACTTCTCAAGCTGGTGTTTTACGCTTGACTTGAACCCGTCTTGATGTGCAAATATAAATTTTCAATCATATCTATTCCAGCATGATCGCGCCGTTGTTGAAGATGCTCATATTTCGTAGGCGCCGTACGGCGCAGATGTTGAAGGACCTTTTGAGGGTATCATGCTGGGTATATCGCTAACAATCAGAACAGACCATCGATCTCACCCGTCTCCGGGTCGACATCCACGTTGAGGTAGCCAGGTGCAGTAGGAAGGCCGGGAATGGTTTGGATGTCGGCAGCCAGAGCGTATCTGTTGTGGTCAGTAAGACGATTGGTGGAATTTTGGTGGCTTGCTACTCACAGATATCCTGCACCAACGGCTAACCGAACATCCCGAATCGGCACCGTAAAACCCGTTGGCGCCCCCTTCAAAGCAGGGTCGTGACTCAGCGAGTACTGCGTTTTTGCAATGCATATCGGCAGGTTGCCAAAGCCTTGCTTCTCATAGGTGTCCACCTTCTTTTGTGCCAATTCACTGAACTCAACCTTCTCCGCCCCATACATGATCTTCCCAATTCTCTCGATTCGTTCTTGAACGCTGCCATCTAGACTGTACAGAAGCTTGAAGTTCTTCTCCTGAGCACTTGCAGTGATGACACCCTTTGCCAAGTCAACAGCACCTTTGCCTCCTTCTGCCCAGTGATTCGCTGGGATGGCGTCAGCTGCACCGGCTGCGAGCGCTTCTTCTCGGACCACTGCGATTTCAGCATCCGTGTCTGTCTCGAACTTATTTATGGCTACGACGACTGGTATGCCATATTGCCTTGCGTTCGAGATGTGCTTCCTCAGGTTTACACATCCTTCTCTCAATATGTCGATGTTCTCCGTGCGGTAGACTTCGTGCAATGCTCCACCAGGAGTGATCTCAGGTCCGCCACCGTGCACCTTCAGCGCTCTGACGGTAGCCACTACAATCACGACATCTGGGACGAGCCCAGAAGAGCGGCACTTGATGTTGAAAAAGCGCTCGCCACCCATCGTAAAATCAAAGCCAGCTTCCGTCACCACGAACCCTGTCTTCTCATTGTGATCCTCATCAGCTTCAGTCCCGGCCAGCTTCAAAGCCAGCTTGTCAGCAAGGACGGAGTTTGCGCCGATACTGATGTTGGCAAAGGGGCCGGCGTGGACGAAAACTGGGGTGCCTTCCAACGTCTGCATGAGGTTGGGCTTGATGGCATCTTTCATAAGCGCGGTCAGAGCGCCTCCTGCTCCAATGTCATCGCAGGTGACGGGATCTCCGCCTCTTGATGTGGCGACAACCATTCGTCCCAGTCTATCCCGCATATCGCCGAGATCATTGCTGAGAGCAAGGATCGCCATACACTCGCTTGCAACGGATATGTCAAAGCCAGTGTCTCTCTCAGTACCCTTCTCTGTCGGTGCTTTTCCCACAGTTATCGATCGCAAGTGACGATCATTGACGTCCAGTACTCGTCTCCAAGTGATCGTCTCTGGGTCAATGTCCAATCTGGCAAATCTGTGTATTTCTTCCTGAGTCAACTCGTCTGGGTTGGTCTTTTCAATGCCAAGCTTTTTCAGTCTCTTGAACATGACGGGTTGAAAATTCCTCTTCCCTTTCTTTGCTGGTACAAGTCGCTTGTAGAGCGGACCGTCTTTCTGCGTCGACTCATGGAACATCCTCGTTTCGATAGCGGCAGCTAGAAGGTTGTTTGCTGCTGAGATGGCGTGAATATCACCTGTCAAGTGCAGGTTGAATTCGTCCATTGGAATGACTTGACTGTAACCACCTCCAGCAGCGCCTCCCTTGATACCAAATGTCGGTCCTTGACTAGGCTGCCGTACATTCGCAAACGCTATGCGGTCCAAATGTCCTGCTAATGCTTGAGTCAAGCCCACCGTGGTTGTGGACTTTCCTTCTCCCAGCGGAGTTGGCGTGATACCAGTGACGAGAACATATCGGCCGTTTCTTCTATGGCCTAGCCTCTGCAGTAGAGTCAAGTCAACCTTGGCCTTGTAGGCACCGTACGGCTCAAGTTCGTGGGGTGCTATGCCGACTTCGTTCGCTACCATCGTGATCGGCTTCGGTCTTTGTGCTCTTGAGATGGCAATATCGGATGGGACAGGGGTGGCGAGCTTGAGAGGTAGAGGCTTGATATGGCGAGCCTTTTGTCGTTCGAAATAGGTCGTCGCAGCGTCAATGACATTTTGGAGAAGCATGGCGACTGTCATGGGTCCAACGCCTCCAGGCACAGGTGTGATTTTCGACGCCACATCAGCTGCAGAGTCGAAGTCCACGTCTCCAACAAGCCGCTGGCCTGATTTTTTCGACTCGTCTGGGATGTAGTTCGTGCCAACATCGATAACTACTGCTCCAGGCTTCAGCCATTCACCTTTGACGAAGTTGGGCTTTCCTATTGCAGCAACTAATACGTCTGCTTGCTTGATGTGATGCTCTAGGTTTTGCGTCCTCGAGTGGCACACCGTGACTGTAGCGTCGGCGTTCCTCAAAAGGGCGCTGACAGGACTGCCAACTATATCGCTACGGCCGAGTACCACTGCGTTCTTTCCCTTGAGCTCGATCCCACTCTCTTGTAGCAGCACCATGACCCCTTTCGGGGTACATGGTGTGAACAAAGGGTGTCCTCCCCGCTTCGATAGCTCTCCGATGTTGCTCGTCCCGAACCCATCAACATCCTTCTCTTCTGCAACCGCAGACGTGACGGCATGCTCCGAAATATGCTTTGGTACTGGCAGCTGAACCAATATGCCATGAATCGAGGGGTCATTGTTGAATTGCGTAATATGTTGTAGCAGCTCGGGTTCCGTGATGGACTCTGGATAGTGCACCAGATTGCAGATGATGTTGGCCTCCTCCGCGGCTTTCAACTTCATACGGACATACGTGCTCGAGTCGGATCTGTCACCCACTTGTACAATGGTCAGGGAAGGCTTGTATCGAGGGTTGGTTTCTTGTATTTTCTTGATCTCCGCATTGATTCTTTCTCGTATGCTCTTGGCAATGGCAGTGCCATCAATCTTTTCCGCGGCCATAATGCGGGTCTTGCTTGAAGCTGGCCTCGTCTTCTGGGTTACCCCAGCTGTCAACTTGCTAACGCCGTGAGAATTTGAGGAGGTGCGCCGAATGGATGGCCTTCTCTTCGCAGCAAGAGGCCCAGACAGCGGAGAAGGTTGGCAGGCTGAGTACGACTGACTGCGTGAAAACAGGCGACTGTGGCACCCGGTGGATGCAGGAGTGCGGAGCAAGTGAAGGTGCGTTAGCCTCGTTATTTCCGAAGATCTCGGAGCGCAGCGAATGAGCATCTTATGTGCCTCTGCGGGGCTAATTGTCTACCTATGATACCAAAATCATCGCAGACCATACAATAGACCAACGCTTTTATCCCGACGGTTCAACAAGCTGTTTTGCAAATATGGAACCAACCAAAACCCACAATGCGTCAAATTTGGGCCCTGGAATTTTTTCCTCCAGCGCTGGGGTAAACCCTAACTAAGAGCCTTGCCGGGCGCCTTCTCGGGAGCAAATAAGGTTCTCTTGGCCATGAATCGCCAAAAAGTTCCCACGAGTAATTCGCGATTGATCTTTCTTCCATCAATGCAAACATGAGACCAATACTACTGCAAGGCCATGTAGGTTATTCTTCTTCTCGTTCTTCAGACCGGCTGCGTTTGCTAACAAACAAACTCACAGGAACGGTCCTTGACTCAGATCAAGTGAGCCCCTTCCCCACAGACAGCCGCTACTCTTCCCTTGCGGACTCCTCTGACTCTGACCCACAGATACACCAAAGACGGCGACATCCTCTTCTCCTGCGCCAAAGACCAAGTGATCTGCGCCTGGTTCTCCGCCAACGGCGAACGCCTCGGCACCTACCACGGCCACCAAGGCGCCCTCTGGACCATCGACATCGACCCCAGCACCACCCTCCTCGCCTCCGGCGCCGCCGACAACACCGTCCGCCTTTGGGACATCCGCACGGGCAAATGCATCAAAGTATGGGATTTCAACACGGCGGTCAAGAGGGTCGAGTTCAATGATGATGGGACGAAACTGCTCGCTGTGACGGAGAAGAGAATGGGGTATCTGGGGACGATTGTGGTGCTCGATGTCAAGGTAGATGTGGAGGCGGAGCAGAGCGATGAGAGAAGTTTGGTCATTACGTGCGATGAGAGTAAGGCTACGGTGGCGGGGTGGAGTTATCTGAGTAGGTACATCATTGCGGGGCACGAGGACGGGACCGTCAGTCAGTACGATGCGAAGGTATGCTCTCTACGCCCCTCACACGTTCAGGGCGGGAGTCTGATCATGGCCGGCAGTCCGGCGACCTCCTCATCAACGAGCCAGTGCACGAAGACGGCGGGCAAGTCACCGACCTCCAAATGTCCTCCGACCGCACCTACTTCATCACCGCCTCCAAAGACAAGACCGCCAAAGTACGTCCCCTCCCATCCCCTCCTTTTCAGCCCATCCCCCTTCCCATCACTTACCTCTACCTCCAGCTCATCTCCGCCCGCGACCTCACCCTCCTGAAAACCTACCCCTCCGACACCCCCCTCAACACCGCCGCCATCACCCCCAAGAAACCCTTCGTGATCCTCGGCGGCGGCCAAGCCGCCATGGACGTCACCACCACATCGTCCCGGCAAGGCAAATTCGAAGCCCGCTTCTACCACAAGGTATTCGAAGACGAGATCGGCCGCGTCAAGGGGCATTTCGGCCCGCTGAACACGGTGGCGGTGGATCCGTTGGGGAGAGGGTATGCCAGTGGCGGGGAGGACGGGTACGTGAGAGTGCATGCGTTTGATAGGGGGTATTTCGATTTCGGGTATGAGGTGGAGAGGGAGATGGGGTTGGTGGGGAAGCGGTAGGGGGAGCGAGAGGGGAGGGTGCGTTATGAACTTCATATGCCTGGCTGTGGAGTTTTTAAGACAGAAAGCAATGGCATTCAATACTTCTGCTCAAGTCTATACGAAGGCGGTTGCACTGAAACATCCAACGTTCCTCGGATTGACGCTTGTAGATGTGGACAGGAGTCTGCCGCAATGAGACACTGAACGTATCGGATATCTACATTAAATACATCACCAACATGGATATTCGACGCGTGGCTTAGATGTCTCAGAATCGCAATCAAAAACGTAAGATTCATCTGAGGACATGGATGGATAGAGTATGGATCATCTCCGAAATCTGCGCCGCGTCGAAAACAGGCAAAGCACACACACGTCTTCACGATGATATACAGTGGAATTAGATGTAGATATGTGCTTCTCGTAGCGACCACGATTGTATTGATCTCAACAAGCCGGGTTGAATGTTTCGTGGGTCCGTGTGGCTAGCTGTAGCAACTTCCAGTATCCCTCACCTCCGACCAAGATCTCCTCGACAAGATGGGCTGAAACAGATTATATACAATGGGTTCTGGTGTAAAGAAAGCAAACGCTGCTCAGCAGACACTTGATGCGACAAAATGAAGAAGTGAATGGTGTGTGAATGCATGCAAGTGCGACAGATGATTGGGTTCCATGCTTGATTGTTGTCATTTTCTCCGGCTCCCGAATGAAGAGTCCTCCCGCACACACGCTAGATGTCAACGCTCGCGATAGACCTTCTCTCGTGAATGTGATGGATTCTTTCCCCTTAAGCCACGTCGCAAGTCAACATGCCCTGGTAAACGTCAGGAAAGACCTGAGATGCGGCATCCGTGGCGTCCATGAAGTTACAGCCAAGCTTGGTATACTGCGGGTTCATCAGAATTTGAGCGTGAATGGTTTCGCCATTGGTGTTCATGTGAGTTGCAGCCGTGGCGTCCGAGCAAGGAAAGCCGGAGATTTCGTCGCTAAGCTCACAAATCCAGCCTAGATACAGCAAATCCATGGGTCCTAGTTCCCCTTGACTAGATGGCCCTGTCAAAGTGCTGGAACCTTGGGCGATGACTTGTCCCAGTGAGGGGGGGACGTTGTGATGGGTCATTGCATTGGCGCCGTTCGCAGTGTTCGTATTCGCTGACACACCTGCAAGTCCATCGTCCCAGGTAAAGTTGCCAAGACCCTGGCCCGTACGCCATCTATTTGCTACCTCAACGACGTTCTGGCCGCCAATCGTTGCTGCGGACCCACCTGATGATGGTGATGAGGCAGCTTTGACTACAGCGGGTGCTGGAGCTGGGGCGGGTGCTGGAGCTGGTTTCGGGGCGGGTGCTGGAGCTGGGGCGGGTGCTGGAGCTGGTTTCGGGGCTGGTGCTGGGGTGCTTGGCTTCTCGGCCTCTTTAGGCTGTTCATGTTGTGGTGCGGCTTGCCCATTGCCATTCGGATGAGAATTGGCTTGCGCGGGAACGTGGTAATCTGCGTTGACATGGACCACTGCAGCAGCTTCATTGGGCTGGGCGGCGGCAGGTGGAGTCGGCGCAGTGGCACCTCCTTGATAGACGGTAGCGACAGCCTCTGCAATGTCTACCACTTCGGTGACTTGACCTTGAGCGTTCTTGAGATAGTCGACGGCGACGATCGGGTCTTGACGCTTGTGGTGGTGGTGGGCAAGCGGGTTGTTCAGCTTGTAGTGAGGATGAGCAATGGCGCCAGCGCCGAGGAGTACTGAGAGAAGGAGTGAGGTACGCATGTTGTTTTGGCTGGGGATTGATTTTGTTGTTACTGGTTGATCGTTGCTTGTCGTGGCGAGAGCTTGGTTTGTTGTAAGGAAGAGAGCAAGGTGTGGTCAAATATGGACGAATGAATGTGATGGCAAGGCCGAGGCTTGCGAGAAGCACTGGTTGAAAACAGAAAGTTGTATGGGGCAAGCAAAGGAATGTAGCTTGTCACCGACAAAAATGAGCGTGGTTGAAAAGAGAAGGGCGGGTTGGGAGGCGAGATGTTGATAAAAGTGTGAGCAAGAATGCAGAGGAAATGAGGTTTTGGAATGTAGTCGTATGTGTATCAGAATAAAATGGAAGGGGCGGCATGACACGCTTAGAATGAAGCCGCTAAGCCTCCGAAGCGGATTTCTGCAAGCAGGCTCTTTTTAGTCTTTTACCAACAGATTTGCACCGGCAGCGCTTGCAAATCTGGCGGGGTTCAGCCAATGATCATTTGAGTATTGCTCTACTGCGAGATGGCAGGGATGTTCAAGGGGGAAAATCTGGTAACGGAGCTTCACCATGATAACAGTTCCTTGACTGTGCGCTTCTGTTCTGCTTGCAGCCAGGCTTAGCCCGCACAAGTCACTTGATAAAGTGTTTCCCTCGTTGAAAAAGCGTGGCAACGGTGAAGTCAGGGTCGAGGGGCATCCTCGGGGATTCCAGGATGAGGCCCGGGAAGCACCCGTCGCTAGGCCGAGTCGAGCAGCCGGCCGTTTCACATTCATATGAATGACCCCTCACCCCCGTCATCGATCGACATACCATAATTGGTAGAGATGGGACTCTGGAGAAAGACAAGAAGTCGCTGTCTTCAATTCAACTTCTTGACCGTCATGGGTAAGGTAAGGAAGGTAAGCTACAACGTCTACCTTACCTTATGGTGGGGCGGAAGGCTTGGGCTTGCATTAGCTCCCGGATCCTGTAGATCAGGCACCGGAGATTGACCATCATCAAAGCTGGGGAAATTTGAGCCTTCCACCATACCTCGAGGTAAGGTACCTTCTACGAGCTGACAAGGCAATCCGCAACTCAAAACGCACTCGCTAAGATACTTGTCGAGCTCGATGCCTTGATGTATGGGCATCATTGTTGTCGTGATGAATCGGGAGCCGCAGCGTATTCGGGAAAGCCCTGCTATCATCAAAGCTTACGATACCCATCTACCTTAAGAGATGACATGTGGCACTCTTGCCGCACAGTAGAGGAAATAAGATTGCAGAAGTATTGACTCGCTGACAGGAGCATACCTTTGCTGCCAATTCCCCACTGCAGATCAAGGGCTAAGCACGGAATACAGCGCAAAGCACGACGACCACCATCATCCACCTGCTATCTCCCATCATAAACATCCATTCGCATTGGTAATCGCTCCTTTCTAGAAGCTCAGCTTTCGTCTGCCATGCTTGGTGTCGCTCATCGCACCATCGTACAAGGTACTCTAAGTGCCTGTAGACGGTACTGCCACCACCGCTGTTAACGATCTGGAAAAGAAAATCCTCGCTGAAGAGACTCGGAATTGAGGTGACATCCCATCGATAGGCACTCTCGCCGGCATGCCTGCCTCGGATCAATGCATTGCCGTTTAGCGAGAAAATCCTGTTGGTAAGCTGTTGGTATGCTGCTCTTACTTGATCATCCTGCAGTCCCCCAACCCCGATGCCAGGGGCCGCCGATGGATCTGTCTGTGTAGAAGCCACAAGACAATCTGTGCCCATCCTGGATATTCATCACAGGTATCCTCAGACCATCCAAAATGTAGGGTATTGGAGTCCTAGCCTTTGGTCTACCTGTTAGCGAGAGGCCCAAGACAGTATCTTTGACTTACTCGAGCCTTCTCGAAGCCGTTTTGAAACACTTCATCATCTCGGTAGACTATTCTGGGAGGGGGGGGGAAGGAAAAATCTTCCGCCTTGGCCTTGAGGTTGTGGTCTGTCTAAGAGTTGGGTTCTAAGTTTGCTCCCAGTCAGACTCTTTGAGGGATGGATGACGATATCACTGCCTAGGCTTCTGAAAAGCCGGAAGCTGATGACCCTTCAATATAGGCAGTACTTGCGCTGGACGCTTGATTCCAATTGCTAAAACATTCTCGGTCTTGCCGTCACACTTGGGGAAGTGCGTGTCATGGCTGTATTTACGTGAGAATAGCCGAGCACAGATTGAGCACTGGATAGACTCCATGTCTCTATTTCTAGTGTGAAGATGGTAAACAACCGCATAGTTTAACGAGGATATGGGTGACTTTTAGGACTGATTGTCTATCCTTTCTGCAAAATGGAAGATTGCTTGATTTTGCCAAGACTTTACCGCTATATATCACTTCACAACCGTTGATGTGTTGAGGGCGGGTATGACAATTAGCACCCACAACAACCCTATTCTCAATCGATATGCATTCGCCACACTTCGCGACACAACAACAGACTGCCGATGACTCAACATCAAGATCACATCCTAAATCAAGACTGTCGCCAACCTATGGTTGAAACTCAAATCACCCACCAATGTCCTCCTTCAACTGTCCTCGATGCTCAAAAACCTTTGTTGTGAAGGGGGCATGGGTCTACCACCTGGAACACAAGCACGGCGTTGCACCTGTAGCGACGGATCCAACAGTGGCCGGTCGCTCGCTCGCAACCACATCCGGTCCCAGCATGTCCACAGCAAGCACACCTTCAGCAGACGATATAAACCCAGCTGTTGGCCGCTTCAATCTGAGGCCCAAGGTGAGTTTCCATGTGGCATACGATCTCGGTCGAGGAGACGAAGCGCAGCCAATTCGAGTGACTGTTCCGAAAGATGAGTCCTATGACAAGTTCCTCTGGCGACTCTATAACGTGTTCTATGGTGATTCCTTCGAGAAATCGCTTCGCCAATGGGAGTACGTCCTTGTCAATCGCCAATACGAGAGAGGCGATCCGCTGCCCTTGACGAGTCCGAACACATACTATGCTATGGTCAGCGAACTTCTCAGGGCAAGATCCCAGTGGAGACATGCTGTGGTTCGGCGCTCCGTGAGTGTGATGCAGTAGAAGCCTAGGTCTGATACCGAGCTAACGAATTTTAGCATTCTGAGAATCCCATCATAAAAGCCATCGTGGAGGGAACGTACAACCCGAAGCCTGACTCACCAATACTGAATGCCGCTACGCCTGACCCCCGCCTACCTGATAGCCCACCAATACCTGATGCCTCGATTGCCGATACTCCGATGCCAGATGCGCCGACGGGTCAAGCTACGCCTGAGCTGCTGGCCTCCACACCTCCCTCGAGAGCGTGGGTTGTAACCTCTGCCACTGCAAGACCCTCAAACCGAACGCCTTCTCCGGGCCCTCCATCTAGAGCATACGCGCGAGAGGTACGCTTCTCCAAGATTGCCTGAAGCGTGAGATACTAACTCCCTGATACAGCTAAGCACACCATCAACACCTGTTACTAGTGCTCGAGGTCGACGGTTGTTACAACTCAGCTCTCCATTGGCACCTGCTGCCGGAGCGCGAAGCCCAACACGATTCAATCTACCATTGATCAGTTCACCACTAAGGCCTGTTTCAAGTGACGGAGGTCGACGCTCGATGCGGCTAGGCTCTCCAGTGGCATCTGTTACGAGTGCTTCCAAGCCAAGTCAGGTCAGCTCTCCAATAGCACCCGTTACAAGTGCTTCACTGCCAAGTCAGCTCGGCCCACCATTAGCCCCTGTTACCAGTGCGCAGAGCCCGAATCTACTCGACTCATCACCCCTAGCATCTCAAAGTCCAGCGACACTACTTGGGTCAATAACGTCACCTGCCACCGGTGCTCCAATTCCATCCATACAGCTCGGGCCACCCTCAGTACCTGCCGCCAGTGCACGACGTGCATCTATACACTTGAACTCACCATCGATACAGCTTAGCTTACCAATTATCCCCACTACGAGTGCGCCAACTCCACCAGCGGTCCTACCAATCGTATCAAGCCCACTATCTCCTCAGGATCCTGGTTCTGAAGTAGACCTGGGGGAGGTACGTTTGTCCGAGCTTTTTGAAGCGTGGGAATGCTAATTCCGGAATACAGCCGAACTCACGGTTAGCACCTGCTCTCATCGCGCCACACCCACCAGCGACTCCACCAATCGCATCAGGCTCAAGGTCTTCTCGAACTCCTGTGCCAGAGCTCTTCCAGCGATCGGTAAGCTGTCTCAACCTTGCTCTTGGCGCTTTGGTATTAACCTATCAACGCAGCTCAACCTACCGCCCAGATCTACCCCTGCCTCTATCCCCAGCATACAAGCTCCGCCGACAGCCCCAACGGCTATATCTCGACCTCGTCGGCCCTTGTGGATCATCTCCAGACAGCGTCTAAACAGTGTGACAGAATATCACGTGCATTGGAACAATGGGAGTAGAGCTTGGGAGCCACACGACAGCTTGTATCGTGACTATCCCGCTTTCGTTGACAGATATTTGGAAGGGCGGCGTTAGAGCTGCAGCGCAGAGACTTAGACGCAAAGACAGATGCGGCGATAAGGTATCGTTTTAGGGTGGTGATTGATATCCAGAACACGTGCTGGGATACGCTTCACGTTTTGTGCTACTCGTCGATGTGAAGGAGAAGGGATGAATCCTAGATGTTACGCAGGACATTGACGCCGCCAGAAGATACCTTATCTCTGGTGACGAGTGCACCTGCCTTGCAGGGCCAAGAAGTCTTGGCAAATACCCGTCATCCAATCGCATCATCGTTTCTTTATGCTAATCCTCCCACCATTTTTCCATCGTATCCTCTTCAAGTCATCAACTTATTGAGATGCTGATGCCGACCTGTGAGTGGAACATATCCGAGAGTCGAGGCTGATTCCTACAAATATATTTCTTCATACATGATTCTGAGGTTAACCAGACACGGGCGCCGTGCAGGCGGCCGCTTCCAACTTCAGCTGAAAACTCTCTACCTTCCATTCTGAGTTGGCATAAGGCTGCATCCTGCATGACTCATGGCATATCCGTCTGACAGAGCCGCATTTTACCCGTCGATGAACGCGCGCCCTCTATAATTTCCTTATATTCATCTTCCCCTAAGGCCATCTTGTTTCTACTACACCGTATCTCTACTTGACCGTCACTTCCCATACCGTTTGTCCAAGATGAGACTCAATCTCGCGGCTTGCGGCGTCGAGTTCGTGAACGGCACCTACCCCGGCAATTATACGTACAAATACCCCAACTATGCATACAACGGAACCATCAGAGGCATTCTGAAACATGTCGTACCCCCACCACCACTTATAACTGTTCAAGGTTGCAGAAATATTTGCGGCGAAGGCTCAGACTACTACGCTTGGGTTGATGTGAGCTCCACTATCACCACCTGGGTAAGATTCTTGTCATACCGAGTGCAATCAGTGGCTTACGCAGATGAAGGTATTGCCGGTCGTTGGACTAATTCTACAGGCCCCCTTCGAAAGCAACGAGAATTTCAAAAGCTTCTTGGCGCTCGCACGTTGGATTGGCAACCCAATCGCTAGCATCTCCTACGTCTTGTGGAATATCAAAATCACCGGCAAATGTGCCATGATGGTGGACATGGCTACACCATACGATGAGTTCCCGGGTGAAGACTCTCAGTTTGCTCAAATGCGGGACTCGTTGTACATACTGAGCGTCATGAACCAGTGCAAGTTCCGCTATCGCCCAAGAATTGGTTCTATACTGATCGGACGTACCTTGCAGATCTGATCAGGCGGGACCTGGTCGGCCAGGACGAAACTATGATTGCAGCTGAGAAACTTCTGCGTATTGCACTCTTCAGTGACGAGCTACCAATGACCACCGAAGCTAGCCTGACGGACCAGCGGAAGAAACTTGCTGGAACCATAAGGGTTTTTCGCAAGAAAGGAGTGATTCCAGTGTTTGTGTCCACCTTATGGTTTCTCCTCGCCATGGCAATATCAATTCAGTCTGCATTTGGAAACATAGGAACAAACCAGGCCGCTCACAACCTTGCGCTGGGGCTGCTTCTAGCTTTTCTGCCGATATTCATCTTGTCATGCGTTGTCGATCGTAACGCTGTGGCGGCAGGCCGGATCCGCGTGAAGCTGAATCGTCTCCTGGCATCTGTACGCAGCGCTCTCATCGATGATGAACTTCGAGAGACCTATAGGAAACGGATTCACCGCCCCCCAGAATTTTTTCATTGGATCAGACTCCTAGGAGACGACAGTTTCGAGGACTTCTTTACAGACTTTGCTGGTCAGGGGAGGATTAGATGGCACTACGGAGTTGCCCATCCTCTCTTGTGTAGTTTCGAGGATAAGTTCATGGCTGAGGATGGAAGAGGCTGGCTGCCCGAGCATAACGCCAATAGAGCAAGGACGTTTGTACGTATCTTCCCCGTTCAAGTTCCCTCTTTTGGACCAGATCTTGAGTCTCGAAAGACGTCCTGGGAGTTGTGACTCCAGAAACATGTTCCGAGGCTCGATATACCCCTCAGGTAGGCAATGCTGACTGCGAAACTGTAATCTAGATGCGTGATCACAGAGACGAAGACCATCGATTGATTTGGTTTGACCCTCGAATGATTCGGCAAATCGCGAGCTCCATTTGCGTAGTTTGCACTTCAGCTGGAGGCGCCTTCATCTTGTCATGTATAATTTTTGTTTCACCTCCTGAAACTCTCTACTAACCACAGGCAGACTACACACCGACAGTCGGTCTCGGCTGCAGATCTGGCGGCTATATGATCTATGTTGTCACAACGATGACTCTATTCCTAGTCGAGATGCTCTGCTGGGGATTTCGGCCTGGCTACCTAGAGAATCGGCGTTGGGTGTGGTGGATCAGTGATCACACGCCCCGGGATCCTGTCTCTACGCTGCTGTGTCACTTCGAGCGAACACTCAACCGCGCAAACACTGGCCAATTCACGAAAGCAGGAAGGACAAAGGTCAAAAGGATGCTCGACTGGTGGGAGAAATCGAGGTGGACAGATCACGTTGATATGCTCTTACGGGTCATAGAAGTAGAAAATTCGATATGGTGAGTCACATTCTGCAAGCCTTGATTCCCAAATCCATTCTGCGCAGGAGTGAGAGGCTCCCTGACCTCTTTCACCACCCAAACTTTATCCTGAAGAGACGTTCTAAGTCCAAAATCATTTAGGCTGGCCTATATTGTCTTTGCTCAAACGTAAGTGTTGGAAGTATAATGTGGTAGACTGAGGCTAAGTAATTTGAAGTGTCGGATCCTATGTAACTTGCGATTGCATATCGAGCATCTGGGCCTCAGGCGGAGTACGAGATTGTCTAGCATTTCCAAAATTTCCAGAAGTTCACTGACATCTGGCACTAGGGATATACCGATTTTGAAAACGTCGATTTTTACCGTGAACATGGCGTCACATACTACTGGGGTGTCGGCACCTCACTCTCGTGCGCTGTATTGGTCGTGGGCCTTGCCTACATTGTTGCGGAATTTTGCACTCAAAGCCATCTCGCCACGGAGGACTTTGGGAACGCGTCTGAAGGGATTAGATTTACTAGACGGTTCAAGAAATACACCTACTGGATTCGATTGCTACTCGGCTTATGGGACAAGATCCTAATCCTAATCTGGAAAGTTGTTCGTATCCCATGGCAAAGCGCCACAGGACGGGAACCGACGGCATTTAATAAGACGTTGATTTGGGATTGGAATGCAAAGCCAAGTAACGCAGACGGGGCGGCCAATCAAGCACTCAACGACCAGTCTCGCAGACGGTCAAGCACTGGGCCTCTGATAGAGGAATTACAACATGAGGGGTCCTCTCGCGATAGCCGAACTCCGGAGCGATTAGATGGTGACGGACCAGAGGCTCAGACAGACGGTGGCCAGCAGCACGACACTCATGATGAGATTCTCCCTCGCATCCGGATGCCGACTTTGCAGCTTTCCCCACAAATGCACTCGGGATATACATCCTCGCACCCGCCATCACCTTAATCGGAGACTTTTCAGTCCCTGTCTAACCTGTCTCATTGAAATATCGGTCACTTAGCACTTTGCTGACGAGCTACCATCAAAGGTAGCAGAGCTGCTTGTATCAACTCGATCGGTAGAGAGAGAGAGGCTTTGTCAAGGTTATGCTTCATGTCACTGGCATTCCAGTGTAGCCTCTGACAGGCTTGACTCGCTATACTCGAGGGCTAGAACTAGCTTGAGAGAGGCTGAATGCTATCCCCCTTTGATCATGGTATTCTAAAGTATGTAGCCAATTTGGTATGACTAGATGTAGCAAAATGTGACAAAGATAACACCTCGCAGTGGTTGCCCAGCGATAAGTATCAGCAGATAGCGGCTAGCCTACCTACATCACATCATCGTGCATAACCGGCATCATCCTAGACTCATCCCTCGAACGTGGGGACATACTGTGTAAGTACTCTATACTCATCAGACCCTTTCCGTCAGCAATGGATTCGCCAAACCTACAAAGACTTCGCAGCATCGCCACCGAGTCGCAATTAACAGTCAATAATTATCTTGAGAATCCTTCGGACCGCGTAGCTAGGGTAAAAGCGCTCCGTGATGCCAAAAACCTCGTTACCGAACTTCAGGATGGAGACGATGCTTTCTTTGATCGCATTGCGCAGGTATGGGGTGTCAAGTCCGACGGTCCAGTCCTTCGCACTTGCGAGCTGACCTACAACTGTGTCTAAGGTCTATGCAGCGCAGGCGTTGCGCTTCACCATGGCAATCGGCGCTTTTGAAAAGATTCCGAGGAAAGGGAGCATTACGGCTGCGACGCTGGCAGCGGAGGTGGGGTCTGAAAAGACTTTGATTAGTATGTCTTTACGTGAACAGCTGTGGTGAAGAATGGTCACCGCTGACTTTGACTCTCGTCCGAATGATGCGTATGCTCGTCGCAGACGGTATGTTGGATGAAGTCGAGCAAGACGAATACGCTCATACGATCCGCTCGATCAATTTTCTGGAACCGGGATATGGATACTTCTTCGAAGTCATGTAAGGCAAGGAGATGTCTTCATTGTCACATACACCTTTCTCCGGATTCCCGCATCCTTTCTCTGTGTCATCTCCGCTTTTGCATCTGTCTGACTCTGAGTACCTCGCAAGGATGGACGATATGCTCCACGTATGTTCTCGCTTGCCAGAGTATTTCAAATCTCATCCGCTGGAGTCGCCATCGAGCCCAACCCATAATCCCTACTCCTGGACATATGGCATGGAAGGACAAGATTGGATCAAAGTGGTCGGACGCTCCCCGGAAAAGTTACGAAAGTTTGCCATCGGAATCAGCGTAGGCACTCCCCCTCGCCGTTTACCCCACGCCCTGACGAGCCGTTCATCCCTCAGGGCAAATGGTCCACCGTCCCCGCCGTCGGCATCTACCCCTTCGACACCGAACTCGCCCCCCTCTCCGCCACATGCCAACGACAAAACCGCGTCCTCGTCGTCGACGTCGGTGCCTCCCAAGGCGGCACCATGAAGGAAATCCGCCAGGCCTTCCCCCGGCTGACAGGCAGAATCATAACCCAAGACCTCGCCCGCGTCGTCGACCACGTCCCGGCGGGTTACCTGCCCCCGGAGCTGGACATCCATCCGACGGTCCACGATTTCTGGACGCCGCAGCCGGTGCGGAACGCGTGCGTTTATTACCTGAGGAGGATCATGCACGATTGGCCCGATGACTGTGAGGCAGGACCCACTTTTTGACGAGAAAATATCGTCTGATGACGAGAGCGGGCTCGCTGACCGGGACGTAGTGTGTCGAACGATCCTGCGGCACAACGTCGATGCCATGGGCCCCGATTCCAGACTCCTGATCGCCGAGGTCCTCGTCCCGGATCGGGTGCAGAAGGAGGAGCTGTACTGCTACTGGATGGATCTGACGGTGCTGACGTTTGCGGGCAGGGAGCGGAGCGAGGCGGATTGGAGGGATTTGTTTGAGTCTGTGGGGTTGGCGTTGGTGAAGGTTTGGCGGGCGGAGGTGGGGACGCAGGCGGTTGTGGAGGGGAGGTTGAGGAGGTGAGGGGATGCCGGGGTGAGGTGAGGTGAGGTGAGGTGAGGGTTTTTGTGACTGCCGGTGGGAATTCGCCATCGTGTTGACAGGAGGTTTTACATATATATATATAGATAGATACACTTTTATACAAAGATTATCTGAAGTATATACCCAAAAACAGCCCATCTACACCCACACCACGGCCCCCAACCCCACCTCCCTCCACCCCTCCCCTCCGCACCCCCCCTAAACGCCAACGGCGTCGTCCCGTTCGCCCCCGCCCCAAACCCGGCCGTGATATACGGCGCCAAAGCCTCCGTGCTCGACCCGACCACGACATCGCTCTCGCCCGCCGCCAGACTCACCCTCGTCCCGCCCACCGTCACCGCCCCGCCCGCCGTCAGCGTCTGCGACCCGACCACATACCGCGTCCGACCATCCGCCGTGATGGTCTCCGACCCCACCACGATGGCGGGCGGCGTCGGGGTCAACACGGACGTGCGGGCCGCGTACACGAGCGCCGTTTCCGCGCCCGACGTCTGCAGCGCGAGCACGGTCCCGGCGCCGAGCGTCACGGGCGAGCCGACGGCGAGGGTGGAGCCCGAGATGAGGTACTGCGAGTGCGGGTTCGGGGTGACGGTGTCGGCGCCGATGGTCAGGGGGGCGGAGGGGGGGAGGGGGGAGGTGCGGGGGCCGTAGACGAGGGCGGGGAAGGGGCCGGATGTTTGGAGGGTGAGGACCGTGGCGGCGGGGCCGGCGCCGAGGGTGATGGTGGAGCCGGGGGAGAGGGTTTGGCCCGAGATGAGGTATTGGGACTGCGGGTTCGGGGTGATGGTTTCGCCGTCGAGGGTGATGGGGGCGGGGAGGGGGATGAGGGCGGAGGTGGTGAGGGATGAGGAGCCGGCGGCGTCGGTGGCGGTGAGGATGATGGCGGGGAGGTGGGTCGTTGAGGAGAGGATGGTGCCGTGGGCGTTGGTGGAGGTGAGGACGATGGGGACGGAGGCGGAGATGGAGGCGGTGGAGAGGCTGGTCGTGGGGACGGGGCGGCCTTGGGCGTTGGTGGAGGTGAGGACGATGGGGTGGGCGACGGCGGTGCTGGTGGAGATGGTGATGCGGCCTTTTGGATCCGTCGAGGTGACGGGGACTGGGATCGCTACCGGGGCGGTTGGGACGGTCGTTGCGGGGCCTGGGGAGGGGGTGATGACGATGCTCGTGGACGCGGGTGCTGGGGGGGGCGCTACTGGGGGTGTTTCCGGGGGGGAAGCTTCCGGAGGGGGCGTTTCCGTGGAAGAAGGTGTTTCTGCCGGAGGTGCGTTTGATGTAGGTGTTTCGGCGGGTGCTGTCTTCTCCGGTTGGGCCACCGGTTGCTGCGTGCTTGACGCCGGCGCCGGCGGCGGAGTTGGCCCGGCATCCGGCTCCGTCGATGTCGAAGTCTTTGTGAGATATAACGCTGTCTGCAACGCTGCTATCGGTCCCACACAATCACCTGACGCCTCGCAGTTCCAGACACCCAGGCCCGGAAAGAAATTCTCGATCAGGTCCCCCGTATCTCCACACGTCTGGTCCCCCATAGGAACAAACGTCCAACCTCGTGGATCCTCGATTGTGTTGACACCTGTCGCCTGTACGCCTTCGGGGAGCAGGGGATGCGATGGGAAGACGGCTACTGCGCCGGTAGGAGCTATTGAGCATGTTGGGGTGCCGCTAACGGTGGTGGAGAGAGTCCCGGTCCATGTTATGTTTGGGGCGTAATCGGAGTAGACACTCGTGGGGTACGCGCTTGAAGAGAATAACGTTAGGTCACATAGTGTGTATAAAGCAGTCCAAGTATTACTCACATGACACGAGTGCTCCCGTCATTATCAACCACGGAGGCGGTCACTGTGCCGTCGCTGTTTAAATTAGTGGGTGTAGCGATTTTTCCGAAATCGATTTCCGTATTGGAGATGGTAGTCGTTCGAGTACTGTTGTTTCTCTTGTTCACAATGAGTACCACGGTTTCTGCTGTATAAGTCGCGGTAATGGACATCTGGGACCATGTTATGAAGCCTAGATCAATCTGAGGATAGGCACAGTTGTTGGAACAGTTCCCTGTTGGTGCTTTGGTTACCGCTGGCCCTAACGGAAATATTGCGGTGGAATTGGGTGAGAATGCTGAAAAAGTCAGTGGTAAGATAGGACAAGAGAAGCGTGCTAAACGCACTCTGAGGAGCTGCTGATGCTCCATGGAAGGGCAGGGCGAGAGCAGCTGCAAAAATGAAGGAGAGCATGATGATGATAGCGACAGTGAAAATTGCGAAAGGTTAGATATGAATGCGATCGATATATGCACGGTTATCCAGCAGTAAATTTCGAAAAGAATGAAGGGGATGAGGGGATATGCATGGGCTCAAGTAAGACACAATCCATCCGGCTTACTGCATCCAGACTTGCAGAGGCTGAAAGATCAAGATTACATATTACATACATATGCAGTCCTGGACTCTGGAGATCCTTCGTAGAAACACGCCGACGATTTAAGACGCGACTATCAGCGTTCTAGATGTGCAATGAAAATCCCTAAAATGCAAGCGGCTGGGCCGGCACTTGATAGGCTGCATGTTTATGCAGGAACCTTGAAGGAACTTTAGCGGCAAGTCCACGTTCAGCTAATGCGCATGGAACGTCTGCCTAGCCTGCTCTAGTGCCAACAATTCCCAGGCTCATTTTGCGAGTACTTGCCGTCCTTAGCTGAATGGTATGAAACCACCATCATAACAAATTTTGCAATCCTTCATGGTTCTCCCCCCATACATTGCGCAGTGCATGCATAGTCCTTACAAGAACAACGAACAGAGAGTACAGAGCACTCACCTAGATTTTGGCAGAAACCTACCACTCTCTACACTCCCCGAATAAGGGAGAGCATCAGTCCCAATGCTTCCCGTGCGTGCAAACAGATGTCATGGGGTCATCAATTGATGATATGTAGAAAGTATTGGGCCCTCCGTTTATTGGCTTTAGGTTGGCCGGGAGCCGGACTACCCGGGTGGAGAGTCTCCTCGGATTGTAGGGACAAAGTTGGCTGGGCGGGGGCGAGCGCGGCTGCCACAATGAATGAAAGCATGATGACAGCAACAGTGACGATTGCGAAAGGTACCAAAACGAGGCTATGCACCCTTCAAGATGTAAAAATAAGGAAGATGATTGTCTGCGGATAGGACGGACGAGACAAGGAGATGAATACCTACCGTACACCACATTGGCCCAAGCAAGAAGATAGTCCGGCTTCCTGCATCCAGAGGCTGGAAGATCAACGTTGCATATGCAGTCCTGAAGGGGTTGAAGATGCAGAATCGGCTCACAGCCTTATGCAAGCCCAGGGGTATAAAAATAGACCGGAAGGAGGCAGACTATTGGAGTCGAACAGGTAACTTATCAATCGATTCAAGAGGGCCCCATGCACACCCAGACTTTCATTTTAAGAATTATACCATTAGTGAATTAGAACACCCTGTAAAGTGAAAGCTCGTCTTGAAGACTCCCGCTGTCAAATTATAAGGATTGGCAGGGAAGACGTTGTAATTCTTGCGATTATCGCCGGCCCTTTTTTCGCGTTCCGTTCTTTTTTCTTCGACCCGAGGCAAGCGTAAATGTGCATGAACTCCGCAATTGATGATTTTACATGTTGTGCAGCAAGGAGGGGGCTTTAGGACCTTCCCAGCACTTGCTTCAGCCTATTTCGCCCTGCTAGTATAAAAAAATCGATCCGAATGAGAGCCCCGGCAAAATCGAAGATTGAACGCCCTTTCTATCAGTCTTAACAACCCAATCATCAGTGGTCTAAACATAGAGCTTTCTGTATACAAGATGTTCTCCTCGAATACTACTACAATCGTTTCGTCGACAGTTCAAGTGTACCACGTATAGCAGTTGAGTTATCATTTTGCGGAATGCCTCAAATCATGATTCTCCTACCGCCACCATACGACACTGATTCGTGAGACGATGTTTCCTATGCTCTATGCTATAACGTCACTTAAGCAGAGCAGTGAAGTATCGTACAACATTACTCTGCAAGAGACAGTAGCTTCCCCGCTGCATTTGTCAGGGCACTCCAGCCGGTCATGTGACTGCACATCCTTCAAGCCATCGGTACTTGCGAGACCTGATACTCACTAGCCATGCTCCAACCTTGGGCCTCTGCCGTCATCATCTACACGATGGACTCCTTCCCCCCATAAAGCTTCTGACTTGCTGGACAGCCAGGCAAGAACTAACCTGAAAGCTCGACAGTCACAGCGAAATCCAGAACAGATGAGCGGAAGGTACCATCTGGACAGTCATCCTGGTCTTCCCTAATTCCGAAGCCGGAGTCGCTGTCGAATTTTATAGGTACTGAAAGGGAAAGAAGAACCCACTGCCGGTACCGACCGAAGTAGCTGCACCGCTGACCACAAGGGTCTTCTTCTTGGCGCTCCAGTGGGATCTGAGTGTTTGAGCCTGGACAAATGTAATATATGACTTCCAAGAGACACCGTTCGCAAAGTTTTTCCAGACCAATATCCATCTTAGACATTGCTATCGGCTCGTTTGCCAAAATGCTGGCTAGAGATCCACCTGTACTAGCACGTGATGCCGGCTACAAATATGTCTGGTAGTGTACTAGTACGCAGTATTCAGCCGAGCCAAGAGATCTCACAGTGTAGATTCCTACTCTCCTAGATAGTTCAGAAGCCTCTGGATAACTGGGTGACATGTTCGGACCTCCAAGTGATGGGGCGACATGTCTCGTATTCGCCGCAGTTTACCAGGAAGGAACTCTGAGCGGTAGATTGTATGTTTTGAGGATCGCTGTATGAGGAGAGAAACATCTTGCCCCCGTTACGCAAAAACTCAAAGGGTTGGGCAACTACGAAACACCTAGGAGACCGATCCCTGTCGGCTATCGGAACGTCTTCGTCGAGAAAGGTCAGCGTCTCTGCCATATCGAAGTAAGAGGATATAGCAAGAGTCTTGTATAGAATTTGGTCGGTCTCAATAGGCTCTCTCTCTCTCCTGAGAGAGAAAGGATGACGGTTGTGGCCAAATGAGCCCTAAATGATGGTCCTGTTACCGAAGGGAAAACAACAGTGTGCCAAAATGGAAAGGACGAAGCCACAACGATTTCCCGCCACCCTCTCTTAACAACATGCTCTACGGTAGAGCAGGAAAGACCAATTTAAGAGTGCGATCAAACAGATCGGCTTATACAATGTTGGACTATCAAGGGGTAACTTGGGTACGCGCTTGGTTGTCCTATGGTGGAGGCGCTAAGCTGTCCAACGGAATAATTTCGGCTCGAACCCCGCCGCCAGCGACCTAAACACGCTAGGAGGACTCAATCTGCTGGCTACCTTTGCTCACTCACTTCCATCTCAGCGCCACTGCAATAACAGTAGTCCTGGACAGACAGATGATCATCACCTGCGCCGACGTCTATCACAATGTCTTCGATAGCGCCCATTCTTGTTCCGGAACTCTCGACATCTAGCGGCAACAATGCCGCAAACATAGACTTGTGGGAGCAAGCTTTGACTACTCTTAGTGCCGAGGATCGAAAGCAGTTTAAAGATCCTTCATCGAGTATGCTTGACGTTCTGAAGAACGTATGTTAACGATTTTCCATAAAGCGAGCGAACAGCGCTTCCGTGGCTTATGAAACCCACGTCTAACGTGCTGATCTGTGCTTCGTCGACAAGGTTCAGGAAGCTACAGAAAGCAGAAAGAATGATTGCCTCTCAAAAGGCTGGAGGCTTTATCGTAACAAGAATGGTGAAGAGGTCAAGCTCCGACATGTCCTTGAAAAGATCTCCATATGGGTCAAGGAATTCATCAAGATCATTGACATGGGAGTTTTGTTGGATCAGAGTGGCTACGCCGCTTTGCCGTGGGCAACCGTGAGATATCTCACCACGGTAGGGTGACATACCACAGAGCTCAAGATCTGCTGATGCTGAAGAGCATAGATCGGATTTTCAGATATCGATGAGTTAAGCAACGTTGTGGAAGGAATTGAGTCCGTTTCTAGCCTTATCACGCGGTACACTATAGTTGAAAAGCTTTATCTATACCAAAACTGCGACGCGGAATTAGGACTTCTCGAAGCCATCACGAAGCTCTACGCAGCTATACTTACCTACTTGGCAAAAGTCAAGGTTTACTGTACTGGAAATGCTTGGAGTATGTGACCATAGCAGTCCAAGAACGCATGAATCCACGAGAGACAAGGAGTTCTATACTGATCCATGATCTCAGAAAGATTTGGCCGAAGCTTAATAGAGGCGATACGCAAGCAGAATGACGAATTGCGGGCGAAGATCTCAGAGACTGAGGTCGAGAAATGGACAAAGTTGGTCGATGTGGAGCGTGAGCATGTCCTCTTCCCAACCACGTCGAACTTGGCTCATCATATGATAGTGCAACGGGCAATGAGAGAAGACACCACTACACGTGATCGGATACTCGGGGACACATTGATAGGACTCAACAAGCCTATGGTGCAGATGAGCGATCAGATATCTATAATTCAGGATAAGTTTAATAGTAGCTTCTTCTTCACTTGATTACTTCAGCCAGTAATACTGAGCTCTTGCCAGGAGAAGAGCGGTTAGAAGTCTTCCGCTGGATGTCCGCAATCGAATACAGAAGCCATCATGAGGATCTATCGAAAGGCTTACTAGACGAATCCGGCAAATGGTTACTCGAGAACCAGCATTTCATTGAGTGGGGACAGTCGAGCGTGTCCTCCATACTCTGGCTCCACGGAATACGTAAGTGCCCTTCCTACAGTACCATTTACCTGTGACTAATCTAAGCACAGCTGGTTCGGGGAAGACTAGACTCGTGTAAGCTGTTGGTTTCCTAAAGCTCAATCCAACATAATTTCCTTTGGAGGACTTGTGGTATTTTTTTCACTATTAGCAGCGCCGCACATGCTGAGTTTGAGGCCCTGGATCAGAGCGACCGTCATCAACACTGTGTTTGATGCAAACTCGGACTCTTCTATTGCCTTTTTCTACTGCGCAAGAAGCACCGCGGAGCCAGAACGCGCCAAGCCTGCTGAGATCATGGGTGCCCTACTAAGACAGCTTGCCTGCTCCAAACCAGATCTGCCCGTCAAGGAACCTGTTGCAAAAGAGTATGAAGCCCGGAGGAATAAGGCTGAAGAGGATTGTTCCGCGCTCAAGAAGTTGACAGTACAGGACTGCACCAGGTTGATCATTGAACTCACCAAGATTCACCCGGCAACAATCATCATTGATGCTCTCGACGAATGTGAAGAAAATAAACGTCACGAGCTTTTGGAAGCCTTGGACGAGATCATTAGCAATTCTGCGGAAGTTGTGAAAGTGTTTGTTTCTAGTCGCGGTGACATTGATATCGTGAGTAGTGTCCTTGTGACATTATGTCTTTGGCTCTGAATATAGACATACATGAATGTCTATAGATTCGAGCTGAGACGTGCCTGCTAACAAACACCATTTCTCTAGAAATTGCATCTGGAAGGATCCAAAAATATCTCAATCAGCGTGGAGAATAACACCAGCGATATCGCGCGCTTTGTCCAATCAGAAGTAGATCGTCTGATCTCGAAGCGACTTCTTTTGGACGGCAAGGTGTCCCCAAACTTCAAACGCAAGATGATCGAGACTCTCATCGACGGTGCTCAAGGGATGTTTAGGTGGGTGGAAATGTCGCTAGAGGCCCTAAAGAGGATCAAGTTCCTCCCAGACTTCAAGAAAGCCCTTGGCCAGCTCCCGTCGGAGCTTTCCGGCCTGTACGACATTATCTACGCGCAGATAGACCAGACCGAGACACACGGACGGGATGTAGCAGTTCAGACACTGAAATGGTTGCTATGTGCCCAGCGCCTGTTATCTGCTGAGGAGCTCGTTGCCGCGGTGTATAAAGTCGACGAGGACATGTCTTCGGATTCGGATGAAGGTTCTGAGTCTGAAAACGAGCAATTGCAGTCGCCCGAAAATGACATTCTTCGGCTTTGCCGCAACCTGGTTGTCTTTGATTCTGAGCAAGCTATTTTCCGCTTCGCGCACCAATCTGTTCGCGAGTACCTCCTGAAGCGGCCACATTACACGGCTACGGAACAGCATGCGCTTGTTACAGAGAGATGCCTAGATGTGTATCTGACTGATTCGCTGCATGGTTCCATCGCTCGAAATATGGAGCGGCAGAATGACGTTCTTAAGTCCTATGCAGAAGTGTACTGGCCAGTACATTACAAGAATGTCGGGAAGCATAGATCCAATGAGCTGGAGACAAGAGTATCGCGATTTACAGGGGGAGTCGAAGGAAGGTCGCTCCCATACGTGCAGTGGATATCTGACATTCGTTGTAAATATGGAGATCTCAGAGGGTGGAATGTGAACAGAAGGTTGGGGCTAGACTGGGATGATCGCCTAGGCTATAGAATACTTGTCGCAGCATCTCGACCAGATACACTTCTGGCTGCGGCATCTGCTTTTGGGATCCTTTCCTTCTTTGAAGGCCCTGAGCTGTCCTCAACAGACTGGAACCAATGCCAAACATCACAAAACGCCAAGTTTTCTTTGCTGTCCATTGCCGCGAGGGAAGGCCACTATCACCTGGCGCGGCTGCTTCTTGACAAAGGAGCTCACGTCAACGCTCGAGACAGATATCATGAGAACGCTCTGGCAGCGGCGTCTTATGAAGACCATAACCATATCGTGCAGCTGCTCCTTGACAACGGAGCCGAGATCAACTCCCAAAGTGAAGATTACGGCAATGCTCTGCAAGCGGCGTCGTCGAAAGGTCACGGCCATACCGTGCTGCTACTGCTGGACCAAGGCGCCGATGTCAATACTCAAGGCACATCCAACGAGCCCGCTCTGCAAGTGGCGTCTTCCGAAGGTCACGATAATATCGTGCACGTATTGCTCGATCGCGGCGCCGACGTCAACGCTCAAGGCGGATACTACGGCAGCGCTCTGCAGGCGGCGTCGCACAAAGGCCACGATGGGATCGTGCGGGAGTTGCTCGACCGGGGGGCCGATGTCAACGCTCAATGCGGTCGCTATTGGAACGCTCTGCAGGCGGCGTCCCGGAGGGGTCATGAACGGATCGTGCGGATGTTGCTCGATCGAGGCGCCGATGTCGACGGGCACACTTTGAGAGCGGCGTCGAGTGGCGGTCATGATCATATCGTACAGCTGCTCCTTGTCTATGTTTGAGTCGGTTTTGATTGTCGGTGTGCATCCTGAGACTATCAACGAACAGGCCTTCCCGCAGATAGTCTGTAGATGCGTATACGAGTACAACCCGATCAAGCTTTAAGAACGATGTTGGAAACCTACGCCTCGGGGAAAATCTACATCCTCGATCCAGGCGCGTAGCCAGAAAAAGGCGTCGCTCGTCTCCAAGAACCATCGCCATCATACCTGCAAGGGTAGCTATCAACCAACGCATTCAATCTTCTCGATCCAAGACCTTCCAACAGAAAGCGCCCAACCCGTCTCGATCCCCACCCACCAAACCCCGCCAAAATAAAAAGTCGAGGAACTTCCTCCCCGAGAACTTGCAATCCATCCCCCTCCTTCTACCCACCACTTCCCCTCCTCCCTCCTTCCTCCTCCCACACACACCCCGCCACGCCTCCCTGCACCGCGACCAATCACGCCGCGTAGGGATGCGACAACGAGTCAAACTATCACACGGGATAAACGAACCTCCCTCTTTCTTTCTTTCTTTCTTTCACCGGGATTCATCATCGTACCGGGGGGGGAGGGGGGCCGATGCCGGTTTGGAGTGGCCTGAGATTTTCCGAGTCGATCGGTGTGGGTGGGTTGCGTCGCTTGGCCGGAAGTGGGTATCGTGGTTTTCGTGTCTCCGAAGGAGGAAAATCCATATGTGTCCCCTCGTTCGGCCCTTCACGGGGATGCGGCGGGGAGTTCCTTCCACTGGGAGTCATCATCGGAGGGCTGAAGTTCCCGCGTCAGACGAGGCGGGAAAGCGAGCCTGAGATTATTTGCAGTTCTTGCAGAGTGCGATGTCGTCAATCTTCTTTCTGCTTCCGGTTTTTACCACCCCGCTGCTACTGCTCCTACTTTACAAGAGAGGCAAGCGTAGGTCGAGAAAAAGTGACATAGAGTGACATTTTATTACACGTCACTGTAATGTTATCTTACATGCTCCATCAAAGCCAAGTTGGGGCGTCACAAATCGAAAATCTTCTCTACCTCTTCCCATTCACTGTTCTTTCGCTTCTCCCAATAATCGTCCTGCCCAGCCCTCGCAACCCACACCTCCTCTCCACTCCCATCGCCACCCTCAACCTTTTCAAACCATTTGGGCGTCCAAGAACTACCCTCATCCTCCATGGTCCTCCTCCTCTTTCTCTGCGCTTCTTCCAGCTTTCCCTTCAGCACCTCAGCTTCATCGAAGTCGCCATCTTCAGCTGCACGCTGATCTGGTCGAAGTCTGCTATCAGTAGGCGGCAATTTCCCCTTCTCAATGGGCGTGATTTCGTTCAGGGATGCAGCGAAAGTGGTGAAACCATAGCGTTTTGCGGCGTCCGGAACTAGCTCAGCAGCACTCCAGATCGGAGGTTCACTCGTCCTAGAGTTGCCATTCTCTGTGGCGGTCAGGGAAGAAGTCCACTTTCCAACCAAGCCAAGAGGTTGCTCGTCGCCATAGGAATCGTAGGTCTGGACAGCGACATCCTCACTGCGGCCGGAGAACATGCCCTTGGTTTTGAAAGTAATGACTGCTTTTTCCCCCGTAGCTTCGTTGACAATGGTCATGTTTCCTACAGGCTCAACGTATTTCTCGCCTGCAATAATGTTGCGGAGAAAGCTCGATCCAGGGGCCCAGCTGAATCTGTCGCCCGTTGAATGCAAGATGACACGAACCTTACCCTCTGTGATCAGCTCTGCGGATTTGCCCCAGAACTTCTGTGTAGGTAAGGGAGACTGAGTGAGCGTCCAATGTTCGCTCTCGGCTTGGTAAGCCATGCGCACCGGGCGATGGGAGACCTTTTCTGCGAGAAATCGTAATCCACGATCTTCGCGTACAAGCTCGAACGTTTCACCAAGCATAGGATTGAAGGGTTTGCGGATAGCACGTTCTTTGACACGGATACTGGAAAGATTCGAGACGGCGAAAGCTGTTACGTAGATCAGACGTTCGATACTCGATCTAGGCTTGTTTGCAGCGTCGTCTAAGAGAGTGGAGTACTCGACAACTTCAGCGAAGCGTTGAAGAGCGGATATCGGTTCATTTGCGGTGACTGGCATTGATATCGTGGAAAGGTCTTTGCCAACATTTTTGCGCATGAAGGAGACCAGGCTGGGTGGAGTGCCGGTAGGAGCAGTTACGGCATTTCTACGCTTGACCCACTGCGCTGGGAGAGGTGTTAAAGACTTTGGTTTTGAAGGGAATGCTGGTGTAGCTTTCCCCGATTCTGCGCTGTGCTGGCCTGGGACGGTAGGCTCATCGACCTCGCTGGCAGAGGCCGACTCTTCGTCGGTGGCAAAACCACGGTCTGCCTCTTCGCCTTCGTCTTCAGTTTCATGATGGATATCCAGCAATAGCGAAACATTGCCTCCTTCGGCGTCGAAGAACTCATCATCCCCTTGGGTGTCTATGCTCTGTCGAGAGGTGGTAGGAGGGATCACTGGCGCGCGGCGCTGCTTGGTCTCTGCGATGAGACGGCTAAAATTTGCCACGATCGAATCAAGATCGCGGAGAAGTGATAAGCATCGGTCGTGCACACTCTCCTCTTCCAGATGACTCTGTAGGGTTTTCCCGAAAGAAGATGTCCTGATTGGAGTCGGACGAGATACTTTTACTGATGGCGTCGAAGGCGTTGCCGATACACTTCGATACATTCCCGGCATTGGCTTATCAGTAGTTGGCTTGCGCTTCCAGAAAGGCCTCCGATCGCCCTCGGCAAAATTCCCACTAGGCAAGCTCTGTTCGGCAGGGCTTCCACTGGTACTCGACGCTGCGGAGATTGGGGCCGAGTCTACTCGGCCAAGTGCTGGATCAATAGGCGTGTGCGTCTGAGTCTGGGGTAGGTACTTCGGATCCGTATCTATGGCCAATGATTTGGCAGCGTCTCGCGATTCTCTTACTTTAGCCACCAGATCTTCGACCTTCGCCCAATGCCATTCTTCCTCTGGACTGGTGCGCGCGGCTGATGTAATTCTCCCATGCATATCTAATCGTGTTGCAGACGCCGGCGTGGTGGGACTTGCACATGATCTTGCAAGCTCCAAGGCCCGTTTCCATGCGTCGAAGTCTTTTTGGTTACCAGCCTTGAGGTGCCATATTTCGGCTCCTGAATCGATACTGATCTGTCTGGTCTTGGCGTTGGCTCCTATTGCAGCCATCGACAAAGGCACTGCCCCTCTCACTGCCTGTGTTCTGCGATTCTGGTAGTAGGAGAGAGTAGAGGATGTGTAGTCCAGAGAGAAAAATCTGCGCGCCCAACCCTGGTTCTTCTTGCGGCGTTTCTTCTGCAGCACTCCAGTGAAGAAGTTTGAGCCTGACCCGCTGTGACCTTCTCGCTGACGTTTGTATTTACACTCGTCTGAACCTTGCTGGGCTGCTGAATTGGAGGAGCCATTCTGGGTGGCAGGACCCGAGGACTCGCGCTTCATAGGTACTTTCCTAGCGTTCGAGGTATCTTTAAGGCTTGTCACGCTCTCGGCAGATCCCCCTTGTACGTGATGTATGTGGTGATTCGACTGTGGAGGACAACCGGTGGGGTATGTTAACAAGACGAAAGTTGCCGACTTGGCGAATGATTTGGCAAAGGTATTATCGAAGACCAGAGCGTACATCGCCCCTTCGTTTTGGGGTACATCATATGTTCCTGTCGATACTCTGTTCGCTTCGCATGTTCCATACCAAGACACTGGCTTGAGTCCTATACTCTTCAGCTTCTCGGTTGCGGTGGATGATGAGTTCTTAGATGAATGAGCTTCCTGGAGCGCATCTTCGGGACGAACGCTTGGGGTGGGCGGTGGCTCGAAGGTAGATGATGGAAGGTTTGGGGTAGGAGCCTGGCCAGAGCCAGGGTGCTTGAAGATGCCGAAATTGATAGATTTCTTGTCCGGCCGAATACTCCAGGAGATTGTATGCTCGGATTTGACATTAACCCAGCGGACAAGGTATGACTAAATGAGTGATAATCAGCAGAGGCTGAGGGTACATATCCAATCCCTCCTCACCTTGCTATGTATCTCGAGCTGCTCCATGCCCGCCATGGTGGTTTCTCTTGCAATACAGGGTTTGCGATCAAATATCAAGGGTAGGCTTTGGGAATTGCCAGTAGGGGGAAGCTGATTTGAGGCATTTTTGGTAAAACGCAGCTCAGGAGAAAAATCCGGTTTGCAGACAATAATGTCCTCAAGAGTAAACATGGACATGCTCGTATGGCCCGCATGCCAAGCCGGAGGATCAGCCTTTTCTAAAGTCCGCCCGACTTCCTCCGACACGCTAGGGAAATTCGAGCTTATGCAAGTCAGTTCCTGTCTCTTGAATCACTGGTAGCTACTATTGAAGCATAAGTCGAGAGAGGACTTTGATCCTACTCTACCTCCATTGTGTACTTGCCCGATATCAGGCCGCCATCTATAACACGAATTGCAAGACAACGCAGAATGACGAAGGCACACGCTTTCTGCGGGGAACAGCCAGAAGACAGTTGCATGGACCGAAATGGCATATGAACGAGTATGTCCGCGAGAGATCTTTCGAACTGATGGCGTATTCCACAGAAAGCCAGATATACAGGCTTAGCAGAGGCACTCAACGACTTGAGCATCGATTCTAGGTAGGAAGTGCAGTGGCTGTTTCCGGATCAGAATGGGATGGTCTCATGTTGCTAGACTCTAGAAAATATTGACTCAAACATTCACGACACCCGAATACGACCGCCCCAAGCAGCAATAGCAACAACATGTATGCCTTCTTTATCACACCAGCATCTCATAGTGTGAGAGCGATGTCAAGAACTCGAAGGCAATCGCGAAGTAAATCCAAGAGCAAGGATTCATTTGTCGAGGACGTGTAGGTGTACCGGCTGACTGATGTATCAGTCAAGCATTTTGTGATGATCGTAGTCTACGAATCATTTGCATCTGGCCCTGGCGGGGCCGGGTGTGCTTGCCCTCAACGGTGAGGGAGGAACGAAATGTATGCAGTTTTACAAGCGCAACTTTATTCCCATTTTCTTATGAAAAACTGTCATCTTGCTTGGCAATGTTAGCAATAGTAACAATCTGTGAGAAAGTTGGGAATGTATGACCTCGGAGATGAAATACTCTCAGTCACAGTAAGAAAAGGAAAGCTTGATCGATCTGACCGGAAGCTCTTTTGATGTCTAGCCAAGAGGATCGAGCAAAAGTGGTGCATAAAAGGGGAGAATAAGCAGGCCAAACTCGCAAGAAAACCCCCAACTTTCACTACATCCCGGAGCCCTATCCTGCAATCACACAAGTTGTCGGAATTAGAAGTGACAATGCTAAGAGCTCAGGTCTTTTCATTCTTGCACACTTTTGTGGGCATCATCCAGAACCAGTTGCTTATTCACCTCCAAAAACCCCTAAACATAGAGTATTCGACCGACGCAACGCATCTCTCCTTCACTCAAAAGGACGCTATTGGAGGTCCATTTCCTTACAATCGTAGCGGTTTTCCGGCAGCGCACCTCCTGAGGCTTCAAAACTTCAAAACTTTGGGACTGCCCCTCTGCATGACTTTTACATGTACGCCCATGCATCCCCCCAAGTGCCCTTGGACTCGTCGGCACTGAGCTCCCCGTGGACCAAACCAGTTTTCTCGCTCTACCTTTACCTCGAGAAGATGCGCCTCGAGGTAGAATTTGGCTCAGGTGCACTGTCATCTCGAGGACAGGTATCGCTTATCGAGGATGGGTCTCTGCATCTCTCGTTATTTGGCTCGTTAGCTGACCCGTGGTATACGAGACCACCACTGAGCTTTGGAATTACCGAGTGCATTTTCTGTCTTTGCTTGTTTGTGGCAAGTATTACACCGGTGTGAGCAGATTAATTAGTCAGCAGAATAGCTTAACAGCAGTGTAACGATGTGAGAGGCTTGGTATGTGAGGACTATGTAGTGTGATACTGTTAGAATTCTATAGCGGAATATGTGTCTATCATGGCCTTCACAGGACCTCTCTGTCCCATGGCAGTCTTCCCTCATAGACCTCTTCCCCATCTGCACCACCCTTCCACTCCAACAGCCCGTCTACACTCTCCTCCTTTCCTTTTCCCACCGCCTCGAATGCACTATGCTCCCACCCTCTCCTCTCCCTCTTCGCCCCAAGCACGCTACCCACTCCATACAGATCACGTTCCCAAACTCCATAACCTCTCTCCCTCTCTCCCTGCTCCAGCACACATCTTGGCGTCACATCTTCCGGCGGATCGATGCCGGTATATGTGAATCTGGACAGGGGCCAGCGTATAGCACGACAGTGCAACTCGAGAAAGCGAGCGCGTTTGAAGGCGTGAGATATGAGCGTTATCTGGGTGGGGTAATTGGAAGTGAGGGTGTGGAAGTGGAGGATGGAGAAGAGAAGGTTCTGGTAGGAGTCTGTTGCGTGGATTTCTGCCGATATGCGCTCGTGATGTTGGGGCGAGAGGCGGTATGCGAGGTCCTGGGCTCGGAAACTGTCAGTGAAGTAAATCTTTCTTCGGGATGTTTCCTGACCGTTCGAAGAAGGAAGGCAAAGGAACATGTTGTCAAGGACAGCAGGACATCAACACGAGGCAACCGGCTGTGAGCTTGAGCTCGGAGAGGATGTACCAAGTATGATTCACCCTCACTCAACGGCGTTCTGTTCTGCTTAGTGGCACCGCTACCGCTTCTCAGCCAATCTTCGAGGACATCGCTGCGGAATTTAAGTCACCCAGAGAACACCAGCAGCGAGCTCGACTCCTCCTTCAACGCTTTCAGCCCAGCTTTGATATGCCCCATAAAAGTTGGTGTTTCGCCACTTTGGAATGACTCGATCGCCCTGCCGAAACTGAGTTAGTAAAGACGAAACGAGCGAGTTGATTAAGTGGAATAGCTGCAAACGCTTGTTGTAGGAGTCTGGGAATAGCCGGATGATAGAAATTGGGAATGAAAATACCACTCAGACTCGTCTTGCCCACTCGTTGGCCCGCCAAGCCATATGGCGTGGCCACATACTACGATCAGATGCGTAATAGACTCACTCAACTTAGAGTTGACATCGAAATGGGACATTGTTGACTGAATGAGTTAATTTGGACAGGTCTACGTCAATTCTCCCCACACAAATAGATTATCCAGGAGAAAAAGCGAAGCACGCGTTGATGCAACAAAGGTTCTCTTGACTTGGCTATGATACAAATGGTACAGAGCTTGGTAAAATGCCAGCTCAAAACAGTTGTCCTCGGTGGAACAATAATGAAGAAATGAAGAAGCCTTGAAGTGGAGGATGCCACTATGCCGCTAATGTGAGCTCCCGGGCCGGAGCCTAGAAACGCCGAACGCTATGCAGCGAAAATGCTAAAATGATGCTGGCCAATGTAGGATCAGAATTCTAGAAAGTGGTGACAAAGGTCCGTAATCATTCATGTAGAAAGGTGCACTCATCCCCCTTTCGACATTTGCCTTCTTGGAAAAATTTGCAAGGAAGTCGAGGTGGACCGTAATACTAGTGGACGGTCAGTATCAAATTATCAATTGACCGGGGTCACAGAGTTGAGAGGACGTACTGGCTTCTTGCCCTGACCGGCCCCTTGTCGAGGTCTCTTGCCTTTGCCGTAGCCATAATCGCCGTCGTCTTGCTCGTACTGACGCTTGCGATCATTGTCGTTCTGGTATGAGTTGGGATACCCGTAGCCTTGCGTTTGCGGCGCCTGTGGTGCCGGCTGCCCACTACCTAAACCGGCTAGTATGGCTTGCAAATCGGGTACTGGGGCTGGTTGAGGTGCCCCGTACTGGCTTGGCTGCGTCATATTCGCCAGAGCTGCCTGTAGATTGAAGCCAGGCGCCGGCTGTTGCACAGGCTGAGGGACTTGCATTTGCGGAGTCTTTTGCTGATTGTTGGCATTTGCAAACTGTGCAAAGATGGCCTCAAGGCCTGTTGAAGCAGCAGGTGCGGCTGGCGGTGGTTGTGGCTGCGGCGCCGGAGCTTGCTGTTGACTACTCAGAATACGAAAAAGGGCAGATATATCAGGCGTTGGCGGCTGAGCAGCGACTGCTTGACGGTTCTCTCCTGCAAGATACTGGGCTTCGCGTGTCTGGACTACTTGTAAGCAATACGGATATACTTTGCAATCAAAAAGGACACACCTTGGTCTGTTCAGCCGGCGGTCCAAAGCTGTCTTCCATTAAGGTGTCGCCAGTAAAGGGATCTGAGGGTTCTCGAGGTGAAGATGGAATATCCGATGGGGTTGTATAGATGACCATGAGGGTAGAAAACTCCCGTTGCTCCTGGGCCGTCCGCTCATCGCTCTTTACTTCAGCTTTCCCGCCACGGCTGGTATAATTTCGAGCTAGTTCGCTAGGATCGATGACGCTGAAGTCGACCTCTGTATATCAAAGTCAGAATAAATGTTCTATGCAAAGTGAGCTTTGCAAATCACCTTTAGGAGTGACCCAATCTGGTAGCACTTCGTCGGGAGGCTCATAGTCCTCGTCCTCATCCATAAGATCAAGATCTCTGTGCATCTTCAACATTTGACCTTCTCCTCTACTATCGCCGACATCGCGGACTTGGCTGTCTTCGTGACCAAGTTCCTCATCCGGGTCGTGCACGAACTCTCGTATTTGGACTAGATCATCATCTTTGAAAGAGACCCTGAGTTTGCGGCGCTGTTCTTTGCGGAGTCGTTTTTGCTTTTCTTCTGGCGTCTCTGGTTTTCGAGTCTCCTCGGATTTCACGGGTGCGGCCTCTGCTTGTTTATTGAGATTCGCCATCGTTGCAGCAAATGAAAAAGTCGGTTTCGGAGGCTCTGAGGCGAGCTCAGATTTAATCTCGGAGCCGGTACTGTCGATGTGTCAGAAAAAGTTTAGGCAGCAATACAGATCACCGGATCAGCGCATTGAAATCGATAGTGAGCTTACCTAGGCTTGCTATCTTTCAGCTTCGAAGAAGTCCCTGGCTTCTTTGATGCCGACTGCAAACTCGAGAAGAAGCCAGAAGGTTTAGCAGTAACAGTATTGGATTTCGCCTTCGTGGAAGACACATCGGCTGATGGCAGCTTTGCCCCTGCCTTTGCGTCGACCTTTGTTGATGGTTGGCGAGCTTCAGAGGCTGTTTTGCTCGCGACACCCTTTTCGCCCTTCTTGGCATCGATTGGCCGTGCATTTTTGGTCTCGTTGGAGCTAGAATTCCTTGCTCCTTCACCCAGTAGCTTTCCATTCGTTTCCTGGCCCAGCGCTGATTTTTCATCTGCAGTCTTCTGCTTCGAGACATCTGCAGCATTGTCTAGAACTTTCTGCGCAAACCTCTTCCCTTGGTCGTCTCCTCTTTTGATCAGTCTAGGGAGCACTTTTTCTATCTTTGTCAATTCCAAGATCGACTGATCGATTGTAGTGCATCGCGTCATGAGCTAGTAAGCATGAGCAAAATTCGTCGCTTGAGACCAATGATTAGACTGACCTCGAGGATGCTAGCGATGAAGCTCCCAGTATATTCACTATCCTTAAATCGGTCTGCGAGGAATTGATAGAACACAACTAGTAGGGCAGGATTTTCGCCTAGTCTATGGAGACGTTAGTCTCCAATTCTTGTGAGGCAGTCTATGTATGTATTTGTGAAGGCGTGAACATGCTTAGACCAGTCTGATGATAATCTTGGTCGTGCGTAATTATCGAGCTACTGCAAGCACCCACGACGGTACCATCTTAATAGCTATCAACGCACGCAAAGCGGGCGACAATCTCAAAATTCACGCCAATTTCCATTGGTCTATTACAAAACATTTGAGTTTGGTGCTGGGCGAAAAGCTCTCTCCATACACGACCGATTGGGCAGCAAGCTTATGGAGTGTCGCTCATTGAGTCCCACTCATGAGGCATTGAGATGGCTGACTGCCCTGTCAGGACGTCTTTTGCCGCTCGCCTACATCTGACTATCACAGCAGATCAAGACTTTCTGGTAGAGTGTGCGACAGCGAGAAGAAGAAGCTCAATAGGAAATACACGTACTTTTCAATGATGTCCGGATGACTGTGCTTGAGAGTCAGACTGATGCATGATTCTAGGAGGCGCCGTGATTCGACAACTCGACGCTCATACGTCTTGATGCTGGCTTGGTCTTTCTTCTCAATTGCTTGCTGCAGAGACGTAGTTTTTGCCTTCCATTTGTCGCGAATAGTTTTGAATATGTTCCAATACTCACCGAGGGCGGTGCGTATCACAGTGCCGGAAAGGCCTACATTCTTTCTGGCCCATACGGCTTTGATGACGTCGTACTCTATCGCTTTGCTGGGATCTGCCGGGCGATTCGCGGGAAGCGGCGAAGGTTCCTCCGGCTCAGGTACTTCTTCAGACTCAGAATAGTATTCCGATTCGTCCTCAGATTCAGACTCCGAAGATTCTGAAGGGGACATAGACTCGGCTACGGATCCATTATGCGCATGCGTGGAAGCTGCAGGAGTACGTGGACCGGACATCTTTGTCTCTGCGGTCTTGAGCTTCTTCAGAACAGGCTCCCGATCTCGAGGCCAGGGGTCTTTTCCTTTCTCTATAATCAATGTCAGCAATGAGATCTTGGTACACGTTGACAACGATTAGCACTAACCTAATTCGAGCAGACGTCTGAGCTCCCTCAAAGACTTTCTTCTCTTGAAGCGAGGTACGGTGGCTGCCAATCATGTCAGAAGACTCATGTTGAATGGAGATCGACCAGTCCTGTTTCGCTCACCTTTAGTTGTGCTGCGCGGTAGCGTACTACTGCCCACAAATGTAAAGCCATTGAGGTGTGTGGACTTTGTGGCGGCCGAAAGCTTCTGAGTAGGCCTGATATGTAAACCCTCGAGGAAAATGGTAGACGGTGGCGTCGCGGACGCGAGATTGATCCATTCTTGGTGGTTGGGAGCAGGGACTCCTGTCACAGAAGCTCGCCGTATGGGCATGGTGGGGCCATGCTGTGAGTGCTGAGGCTACCGGATGTCAGTCTGGGCCCTTTTGATCGAGTTTTCTGCAATTATGCAACATACCTGACGCGGTTCCTCGGTCTTTGTTGACGGGAATGGATAGTTCTGCAGCGCTTGAGGGGATATTGTCTCGTTATGCTGCGAGTACGCTGGGGGGGCGGAGTAGTCATACGGAGTGCCACTGTTCAATGGCATCTGACCATAGTTCAAAGCACTGTCGAATGGAGAGGCAGAAAATGCATGGCTCGTGTTGGGGTCGAAGCCAGAATAGCTGAAAGATGCGGGATTCCTTGAGTATATCTGGTCGTAATCGCTTGATTGGCCTCCATAGTTGGGCATGGGAAGCGAATTGGGAGACTGGTAAGGATTCTGTTGCCATTGCTGGTTTCCGTGATCGAAGCCATTGATTGGCTGCTGCTGTGCAGGATAGGCTTGAGGATTCCAAGACGAATCAAAGGCAGATTCATTATCGGTATGAACGAAAGAATTGAAAGGATCATTTTGGCCACTATTGAAACCATAGTTTCCTCCTGCTCTCGAAGCATTGTTTCCTCCATAATCCTGGCCCTGCTGTCGTGGATCCATTACGCTCTCCAAACGATAAAGATGTTCAGCCTTAGCGGGGTTTAACCTCTTCAAACTCCGGCACTAGGCATGTAGCTATGACCGATCTGGTAAGGCGTGGTGAGATTTTTCGTGAATACTTGTACGGCGGGTGCCTGCTCTGTCGGAAGATTTTGCTTTCAGGATCTGACGGTTTTTGGGACGTTTCTTGGCTGTGATGAACCGGCCGTAGCTATGCCGTTGTCATTGGCGTGGACGTAGAGAAGAATAGCTGGGAAAGTAGAGATTAGGTGTTGACTTGATGGATGTTCGAGTCCGTCAATTCTGTGTCACAATAGACAATTCAAATCGAGTACTTCGAGGTACCATGGTACTTAACGCCAGTCATAGAGAGCTGCTTGAAGATACCGAAAAGATTCGGTGGGAAGAAAATCCACCCCTCAACCGATGTACCTCACCACGTCCACCTAACACAGCCTTCACCCTACTCCAGAATGCGTGAAGACCCGTCCAATCAATACTTGATAATGCTTAAACCATTTAATGAGCAGT